AGCTTTGCTGAGCGGACGAGCTTTGCTGAGCGGACGAGCTTTGCTGTGCGGAAGAGCCTGGTTGGGCGGAAGAGCTTTGCTGAGCAGGAGCGCTGCTAGCCGGGGCAGTACTAGCAGAAACGCTACTAGAAGCAGCGCTGGAAGCAGCACCATTGCCAGCAGCAGCCTCACGCGCATTATCAGCCTTGATAATATCGGCAGCCTAATAACATCAGTACTGATCAATCACACAAACCAAAACAAACACATACCTTCTCGGCAACAGCATAAACGCAAGCCTGGAGATGCGCGGCCGGGATGAGTGGGAAAATGCTCGCGTCAACAATCTTGAGATTTTGTGTTCCATAGACCTTCAGGTGTGCATCGACAACACCACCGAGTTCAAGAGGAAGCATGCTGGCAGTGCCGCTGGGGTGGTACTCGGTGTAGATAGCTTCCTTGACCAAGTTCAACAACTGGGCATCATCGTTCAACTGCGCGGCGGTTGGGAACGACTCGCCGGGTTGAAGCTCCTGCATAGACGGCGTCTGGATGAGGCGGTGGTTAAATCGCAGGGCCTCCACCAGGTATTGCAGATCGACAGGGTTCGCGCCGTAGCGTGGGTCGATGGAGGGGGTGTCGAAGGGGTTGCGGGAGCGGATCTGGACCTGGCCGCGCGTGAAGGGCTTCATAACAGAGTAGGTAAAGTGGCCGTTGTTGTCGTTGAGGAGTTCGAACTGGGCGCGATTCTCGTTGTTGAGCGCGCTCAATAAGAGCTCCTTTTGGCGGTTGTAACCTGCAACGACAGTGTCGTCGAGACCTCCGGGGAGGTGCTCGCCGTAGACTTGGCCCTTGGCTTGATCCGAGATGACCGTGTAGTTGGTCGTCATGGACTTGAGAGATGGGAAGGCGACGCCGTTGGGTGAGCCGGCAGTCCAGACGCCAGTACTGCTACTGTAATACTCGGCGCGGTTGATCTCATCGTATGTTGAGTTGGCGCCGTACAAGATAGGACCGTGATAAGCAGTGCTCTGGCAGGGATAGTTGGTAGTGACCATGAAGTGATCCTGGTAGTTGTTACCGACACCAGGGAGATCAACCGCCGTGGAGATGTTGTAGGCAGACAAAAAGTCCTGGTCTCCGATGCCAGACAACTGAAGCAGGATAGGGGTGTGAACAGCACCGGCAGCGAGAATGACGTCGCGGCGCGCAGTGATATTGTAACGAGGGGCTGAGGCGCTGGCCGCGTACTCGACACCGCTGATTTTGACATTGGGGAGGTCCCTCTTGCGGTTGCTATTACGCTTGATGTGGGGGCGTTGACGGCCGTTTTTGGCGTGGCCCTGGGGACCATGCACACGCGACTTCCAGGAAGAGTCGAAAGAGGGAATGAAGTTGAATACGTGGAATGGATCACTTGGACCGGCCTGGGTACCTTGGCCATCGGCATTGTCATCGACTGTAGGCTCATCCTCGGGCTGCTCCGTACCCTCGATGTTCAAGCGAGTCACGAACTGACCGTTTGAAACGAAAAGGTTGTCCCTGCCCGCAACAGGGTCGTAGTAAGCCCTCTTGGCATGAGATCGCGACTTGCCCTCGGCATCGATTGCCAGTGGCAAGAAGGCAGTACCAGCATTGTCGCCAGCTGCGCAGTCGGTGCTCGTCGGGACCCCAAGTTCGTTCAGTCCATTGAACAGGTTTTGGGTGGCGCTGTAAAAGTAGCCTTGGTAGCTGATGTTGACGGGACCATTGGTGCCGTGGACATTGTTGTCCGCAATAATGGAATACTGCTCGGAATTTTGGGCTGAAAAGTCTGGCGTGAACCTCTCGCTCTTCTGGAAGTATGGCAGAACACCCTTCCAATCCCAGCCTTCGTTGCCGAGTGCCGCCCAGTCGTCCCAATCTCCATTGTTGCCTCTGTTCCAGAGCATGCCGTTGATCAAACTTCCACCACCGACACCACGTCCAAGCGGGTAGTGTCTGGTAAGCCCGTCCAGGTAGGTCTGCGGCTCGGTTCCGATGTTCCAATCGTATTGCTCATGAGCAGACAAGGATCCTTCCTTTGGGTTGGGGTTGTTTCCGACAAAGTAGGGCACCGTCATCCATTCCTCGTTTTCAGGCGAGGGGCCGGCCTCGAGCACGAGAACCGTTACATCTGGATCTTCGGAAAGACGGTTGGCAACAGTGAGACCACTTACACCTGCTCAATGTTAGAAGCCTATGATCAAAGCGGAATTTGAAACAAACCTCCACCGACAACTATAGAAGTTAGCATGTCATTATTTTAGAAATGCCGGTCATTGTAGATTGGTATCTGCGGACATACCAACATAGTCATATTCGTCCAGGAGAGCATCATTGATAGGCCGAGCTCGAGCGACCGAGTACAACAAAACGAAAGAAGCCAAAGGCAAAGAGAGACGTGGTGGCATGGTCAAAGAAAAGAATGTTTGGATGAAAGAATCGCGAATTCAGTGGCTTGGGAGAACACAACAGAGGAGGCTTGCAGCATACTTAACCTCTTGCCTTCGGCTCCTCAGCCGCTCTCTAAGGACGTAGACGGACATCTACGATTCATTTCATATCCCTACATGTGCACCCTAATGACACTCGCGGTCATAACTTTTTGTCTACCATTGTATGACCTTCTGACAGCCTGGGAGTTTAGGATAAGATGGCCAATATGGTCAGCTCGGACAAATGAATCGAGCTTCAACCACGAGCTGGTCAGGGCATAGGTGACGGAGGTTGGGCCATGATCCCCAGGAAAGCGAATCCGACGGTGATCACGAACCGCCAGGGCATCAATGCTGGGTGAGATATGGCGGCATATCTCCCACTATTCCGGATTCCCGGCAAGGATTGGAAGCGCCCCATGGATTTGAGCCGCTGTCTTCGCACGCGACCACGATATTGTCCCCTTTTGGCAACGCAACCATTTAAAGGAGCCATGGTAACGTGGCATAGGACTTTGAACAGCATGATCGTCAAATGCTTGTCCAAAGATATCGCAATTCCCGGGGACTACAACAACCTGAGTTAAGACCAGCGGCCGTGTTTGTGTTGGCGCATGTCCCGATCCGGGGGCGCTAACATAGGCTTTTTCTGCAGACAACCTTGGATGATTGAGAAAATGTAAAGTTCGTGTTTCATCCTGGTCCCTGGACAATATTCCCGCAATTTACTTGGTTCAGCCCAAGATGACATGCGTATGTTATGCTCCCATTCTCATGGCGAGATCCGGGGCAGACGATGTTGCGTGCCTAATGGATCGACCAAAATTGCTTTGAAAGTTAATCTGCATCTCAATGTTAATATTCAGTCTGTGCTCCATCAAGGTTTCCATTCGAGGTGTAGGATGGCAAGATCTCTCCTGAACAACCGTTACACAGGCTCATTGTGCTTAATAGCGATGCGCATGTTTGATGGACTGATTTCAGCTGTCAAGTAAAAGAACGTTTGCGGCTTGTCTCTCGTTGATGGCAGTTCCGTTGTTGTCTAGTCGCATTCATCGGTTCCGTTGTTCAATGTGCAGACGTCGTCAGCCGTGGAAATCGTATTTCCGTCACCCGAGTGACAGCCAGCGGGGCCGTTCACGCTCCTCTTCGTCCTCGACAGTTACAAATCCAGCTGTCAGTTGCGCCGTGTAACTATGGAACACATGGAGAGTTGATGGAAGGAGGCTGGTGGAGCCGCATCGGTTCAACTCGGAGAGATGTCAGGAAGGTCACAAGGTGGGAGAATGCCGGAAGTCTTTGAACACGATGATGTAAGGTTCAACATCTCAACTTGACCACCACCTCTATCTCCTACCTCCGTATATATTTTTAATTCGCCATCAACGACTCACCAGTCGCTTTTAGCATAGTATAACTATTTGATGGTGACCTCGTGAGGCGCACGCAGACAAAGTTATTCCCGGAGCCCGGCCTGCATCGTACCAAACTCCAGCACCCACTCCATCGGACCCTCACGATCGTCAAAACAATGTCACTCAAAGGGCAAAACGTGCTCATTACCGGCGCCTCGATGGGCATTGGAGCCGCCATCGCCAAAAGGCTTGCCCAAGAAGACGCGACACTTATCCTGTTCGCCCGGTCCAAAGACAAACTCTCGCAGCTCGCGTCTGAGCTCGGCAACGAACGAGTCGTGACGGCCTCGGTCGACGTGCAGGACCACGCCGCTCTGGACTCCGCCATCAAGGACGCAGTGCAAAAGACGGGTCCGCTCGATGTGTTGATCAACAACGCAGGGCTGGCGATAGGTGCGCCGGCCGCCTTCCCGGACCTCGCCATTACCGACATCATCACCATGACCGGCACCAACATCAACGGCTACATGTTTGCGGCCTACGCGGCGCTCAACGCGGGCGGCATGCGCGTGCGGGGCCGCGGAACCATCTTGAACGTGACGTCGACCACGGGTCTTGAGGTCCCCCCGTTCCCTGGCGAGGCCGTGTACCATGCCAGTAAGGCGGCGCAAGAGGCCTTCACCAACGTGCTGCGCACCGAGCTGCAGGACTCAAATATCAAGGTCTTAGCGCTGCGGCCTGGTGTTGTTGCCACCAACTTCCATGAGCTGCGCGTCGGTTATGACAAGAAGCAGTATGATGACTTCATGGCTGGCTTTGAGCCGCTTGTCGCCGATGAGGTCGCGGATGCTGCTGCTTTCATGTTGAGTCAGCCCGAAAAGGTTTCGATCAAGGCCTTGGATGTGGTCCCAACTGCGCAGCGGAGCTTGCAGGTGTTTGATCGGAAGTGGAACGAGAGGCATGGAAAGTAACTAGTTGGGCGTGCTTTGGTAGCAAATGAAAAATGACATCTTGCGAACCGACATAAGTAGAAACAAAACAAAACCGCATCACCCAATGCACACACAACCAAGGTGGACATAAAACATCTTATTAGACATCTATGCCCTATTTTTTATGTTTTTTCTATTGTGATTGTGGTGCCGAAGGAATCGACCCGTGACCGCGACGACGGCAGCCCCTCCGACGCCGACCCATGCCCAGCGACTGCACCTGAATCCCATCCGGGGTATCATCCAAGCAGTGGTTCGCCGCAGAGGAAAAATGACTCCCGTGTCGAGTCTCCCAAACCTTGAACAAACGCCGTCCCAAACTAGTAGAAAAAGGAGAATCAAGCAGATGTGCTATGGTACGACTACAATGACAAAATTCGCAAAAAAACGAGAGAACCCTAGCGCAGGAAAAAGCGAAAGAGCTCGATACAAGACATATAAAGGAAATAGAAAAAATACCAGTGAAAAACGCCAGTGGAAACGCCAGTGGGAAAAACGCCAGTGGGATGCAGAACTTAGGCCCTGCCTCCAGAACGCCCCGCGCAGCCGAGTTGTTAAAACCCATGGATATCCTCGTGCCATGCCAGGCCGAGGAATTATTTTCGCCTAAGAAGTGATCCCGACCCATAATCGAAACCCATGGAGCCGAGGATACGAGCCGAAAAACGAAATTTGTGCAAAAAAGATCCGCACACAACTGCAAGGGTATCCGGAGAAATCTACGCCAGAAATCGGACACCGTCTGAATCTGTCGATAATAACCAGTCCAGTAGTAAACCAGTCGAGTAAACCAATCGAATCAAGATCCGAACAACGCGTCCGGATCGACATGAACCGCCGGAGATGGCCAAACTCCAAATGGGTGGCACCCGAGACGCCAGCTATCCTACGTATCGACAAGTTGAAGCTTGAGAAGACGCTTCAAATCATTCTCCATGGCCTTTGCATCCGCAGTTGATGCGTTGCGAGCAGGAGAGGAGGTGCCGGTCGATGCAAACGGCGAGCCGAGATTACCATCGCCAGCTTGCTGGTACGGCATCAAGGAGGGATTGCCCGCAGCCTGTTGAATGTGCGAGTTCAGGTAATTGCGCGAAATCGTGGAAGCGTCGGGTCTTCCGTTAGTGGCGCGGGATGGCGTGAATGGTGCGGGGTCTGAGCGCGTGGTAGCCGGCAGATCCGGGCGGTCGGACGGGGAAGCAACTTCTTGGCGAAGGCCTGAAGCGCGCTTTGTAGAATCTCCCTTGGCGGCTTGGAACAGAGGTGAAAGATTGCGGTTGCCATAATAATAGGGATTGGCCTCGAGGTCCATCTGAGCCGCAGGAGTGTGAGGACTCGTGCCATTCTTCGGTCCCGAAGAGGGCTGGTAAAATGGTGACGGAGTGTGGAAGTCGGGCGCGGCGCGGTTCGGCGTCACTTTGCGGCCACTATCAAACGGTGACTGCTGAGCAGGTTTCCTGGAAGAGTTGAAGAGATCCTGAAGGGCCTGAGGAAGAGGTTCGGCGTTCTGGCTGGTTCTAGGAATGCTGGAAGGAGCGGTGATGGAGCGGTTTGCGACGATGCGCTCACGAGACCCAGCAGGGCTTGGAGAGGTAGGCTTCGGGGTAGCAGAGTATCCCGTTTCCATTTCCATTGAGAAAAGTCCCCGCGCATTGCCATTGCCATTGCCATTGCCATTGCCATTGGATTCGTGCCTGGTGTGGTTCCTACCGTTGATGGGCAACGGACTCTTGCCGTCAGGCGTGTTGGGACCATTCTTCTTCGCCTTCTCCGCCCGATCGGCTTTAAAGAAAAAGTCAAGCGGAGATTCCTGATGCTCACGTGGAGCGATCGCCTGAGCAGGTGTGGCCGAGGTGAGAGCGGGCTGTGACGGCGTAGCTTCGAGCAACGAGGGCGAGTCGCTCTTGTCGCTGGTACCGCTGCTGTCGGAATCCTGATCGAGGCGGGACTGTAGGCTGGTCGGAGCGTTGTTTGCGGGAACCGACCTGGAAAAGAACTTGGGCATGGGCAAGGCCGACGGGGCCGGAGAAGCGTGGAAGGCGGGGCCCGCATAGGCGCCGTCTTTGGCGGGGGTGCCATTGGCCGCGACGGGCTGCTGGGGCGTCTTCATGGGCGATGCGCGGCCGTTGGCGCCGTTGTTGTTAGGGTTGTTGTTGTTGTTGTTGTTGGGGTTGGAGTTGGTAATGTTGTTGCGCTGCCGTCCGCGGCCTTTCTTCTGGCTGCCAGTGGCTGCCGGGCCGTCCGATAGCGTTCCGTCTACATGCTGTCAGCTCTTGCACCTTCGAGTGCGCCGCAAGTGTGCCAACCTCCTGTGCGGATTTGCGTGGCGGGCGAGTCGGAGCAGGAGAGGCGCTGGGCGTTGTCGAAGTTGTTGTGATTCCGGCCGCGGCGGCCTTGGCTGGGCTTGCCCGGCGGCGTCGAGACAGCGTCTGAGGCGTTTGGAAGCGCCTTGGAGGGCGTGCTCTTGGAGTGGTTGTGGCGGCCGGCGGGCTTGGAGGGGGTTGTTGTTTCGTCGGCCATGGCGTGCGGAGATGCGACACGGATGCGACCGCAGGACGGATGAAAGGAGATGATGAGGCTGTTACGTGAGGGATCGCGAGCGTGGAGGTGGGCGGTGCTGAGTCGAGTTGTACGAGGAAGAAGTCGCAGAAGAAGCAGTGGTGAACATGTAGGTATACTGGAGAGGGGAAGAGACGAAGACTGTCTGCGTCATTGCAGTGTATTGGGGGGGATTTGGAGTGGGCAGCGAGCGAGCGGCAGGCTGTGTCGGGCGCCGTTGTCGCCGCCGCCTGTGATGAGGTGTTGCGCCAAGCCACTCGCTCCCGCTTTCGGTTTAGCGCCATTGCTACATAAATGACGGTTGACGCTTGACGGCTGACGGAGCCTTATATCGGATGGAAAATGGATCAGACTACCACCACCATTTTCCCGCCTACCTCTGAATCCACTGTCGCCTAGTAGGGCCTAGGTATGCTCGCTGGGAATCACAAACGATAACATGCACGACGACCGGGTAAACAGCCGTGCCACCATGTACAACAGCATCTCTCACCGCAATCTTCCTCTACCAGCCCAGTGAGCAGGGCAGCGATCGACTCCCCGAAGTATCACTTCAAACCAATTCATGCAAGAACCCCCGTTTGCGCCTGGTGAAATGCCGCGACTTCAAGTGACCTTGTCCCCATCCACCTCAATCTCAACTCCGCGTGTGCCACTCGACTGGGGCGGGAGCCAGGTTATGGGGTCCTTGTTGAGGAAAGGCCATGGAGGGACGACGACGAAAAAGGTGAGTGCGGCACCACCAAGGACAATGTAGAGCGACAGCACGATGTTTTGGGTCGCGTAACCGACGAAGAAGGCGACAATCTAAAAAGGCGTCAGGCAGAGCGTCAGGCAGAGCGTCAGGCAGGGCGGCGTGGGGTGCGTGGGGCAACATACGCCGGCGGTAGACAGCAGCGCGGTCGTGAGCAGTTCGGCAAGGCGCTGACCATCAAAGTCCTAGAGACGTCAGCGGCGCAGCTGAAGGGGGGGACATGCGTGGCACAGGGGGGCTGGGAAAACAACGCACAATCTGGCCCTCGAGCAGGTCGCGGGCCTTATCCAGCAATTCGTCGGCCATGGGTGCAGGTGGTAGTGGTATGTTGCGGATGGTAGATGTGGCTCTAGACCGTGCTCGCAAGGCCGGAGATGAGTGGGTGGGCTGTCAATTACATCAGCCGCAGCTTGGGCAGCTATTCTGGATCAATGGCTGCTTCTTCCGCCGGGAAGCGGGCACTAACTAAAAACACGGACACGGACAATCGGCGCCAAGCAAACTCTTTACGACGTCGCCCGCCCTTCGCTCTCACCTCACCCACTTTGCCTCCCTCTTCCCCCGCTACACCGTCTCCCCTCGACTCCTGTGGGTCTTCTTCCTCCTCCCGTCGCTTCCTACCTGCGCCCGCTATTCTTGCAGTCCCCAGCTCGACTCGCCTCGACTCTCGCTCCGCGTCCCTCGGGACTAGCGCAAATCTAGCCGCACGGTCTTAGCTGTCGCACCGTATTGTGGCCAGGAACTAGGCCCTGCTCCTACGACTGCGCGCCCTCGACGACTCCTTTCGCGTCCCTTTCGCCCCGGCCCTCGACGTTTCGGCGTCCCTCGACCGCAATACCACCAAGTTGGCGGGCACTCAAGTCTCTACGTTGCCCGCACGTCCTCTTCTCGGCCCAAAGATCTGGGTCTGCGGAGGCGACAAGAAGCCTCCATAACTGATCCCTCGGCCCCGACGACACGCGCACCGGCGCTGACCACAATCCCTCGGTTTTCGCACGTTTAGGTGGTGTGGGAGGTACAGAGATTACCTCGGGAATTTTCGCAGGCTTGGTGTAGGGCAGCTCCCTACGCGAAGCCCCCCGTTCAAGTTGAGCGCCTTCACGCGGTGAGCGCTCACAAGCGGCTCGCCAGTCAAGACCGACACGTCGATCGCCGCAATTGCATAGGATATCCACCGACCTCGACCCCGATATCAACATGACCGACACGCCCAAGTCCGAGCACATCGCGACCAGGTTCAGCACCCCGGTGTCCGACCTGGACGACCACCGTCATCAGCCCGAGTCCATGCCCCGCGCAGACAATCCGAGCCCCACCACCAGTCGGCGTCCAACCGTCGCCAGCGTCAATTTTCCATCCTTTGATCGGAACGACCTCTTGACGGTAAACAATGCGCTCGAAAGGTCTGGTATGATTGCGAGAGATTTTGAGTGCGCCATCCTCGACGACGATAGAAGTCCAGGAGCGTCGATGGCCGAACAACCGCCGTTCATTCGGCGGGGCTCTGCCACTAGCCCAATTGCGAGGCGAAACACCCACCGGCGCCCGCGCGATGCGCAGGTCGAGCAGTACGCAAAGTCTAGGTCCTCCTCAAAGTCTTCGCGCTCCATGTCCCCGCCAAATTCTGTGGATGCGTTCGCCGATCCGCGCCGCCGCGACCGCGCTGGGACCATGACCAGCCATGCTCCTTCAGACCTTGACTTGAGGATCCATCGCACCGCGTCGCACGTCTCTCATCCCCGCCGTCCGACCTTCAGCGAACAGAGCCGCGCAGGCACCGTCAATGATGCAGCTTCAGGCCACAGCTCGGCAGAGGAGGATGTTTGTTTTCCTGTCCCCGAAGAAGCAGGAAAGACGTACAGGATCGACTTTGAGGAGTTGGAAGAGTTTGTCGCAGAGAACACGACCAAGACGCCCATCGTCAATCCGTTGTCGCGGAAGCCCAGTAAAACCAGCATCAAGAGCAATGCATCTTCCACGAAGCCGCGCGTCTTCCACGACTTGCGACAGAAGGGTTCCGTCACCGACTTTCCAAAGTTTGCCATGTCGGACGCTCCACACGCCTACAATCAAACGGAAGCCGCCGACAGTTCCGGTGAGGTGGAAGAGAAGGGAGAGTTTGGCCCAGGCGCTGGTGTCTTCGAAGCCCACCAAAACAGATTCGGTTTCTTCTCCTCCGAACTCGATGACACCATCCATGCTACTGACCTCGGAGGTCTGTTGATGCCTGGAGAATCGTTTCGGGACCTCTTCGAACTTCCTCCAGATGCCGGTCTGTGGTGGTTGGACATGCTGAACCCGACCGAAGAGGAGGTTTTCGCGATTTGCAAGGCTTTTGGCGTCCATCCTCTCACAAGGGAGGATATCTTGATGCAAGAAGCTCGTGAAAAAGTGGAGTTGTTCAAGCAGTACTACTTTGTTTGTTTCCGCTCCTTCTACCAAATGGACAAGGAAAGCGAGTATTTCCTGGAGCCGGTCAACGTTTACGCAGTCGTCTTCCGCGAAGGTCTCCTCACGTTCACGTTCGCTCCCAACCCGCATGCTGGTAACATCAGGAAGCGTATCTCCCGTCTCAAGGACTATATCTCGCTCAGCGCAGATTGGGTTTGTTACGCGCTCATCGACGACATTGTCGATACTTTTGGGCCAGTAATTCGGGAGATTGAGTACGAGACGGACGCCATTGAAGACCAGGTCTTCACTGCACGTGCAGAGGACAGCCGCCAAATCCTGCGGGCCATCGGCGAATGCCGCAAGAAGGTCATGAGCATGATGCGCTTGCTCGGCGGCAAGGCGGATGTCATCAAGGGCTTTGCCAAGCGCTGTAACGAGCAGTACAGTGTCGCACCGCGCGGTGACGTGGGGCTGTACCTTTCCGATATCCAGGACCACGTCGTCACCATGATGAGCAATTTGTCCCACTTTGAAAAGATGCTTTCGCGGTCACACAGCAATTATCTCGCTCAAATTTCCATCGACAATCTGAGCCAGGGCAACTCCGTCAACGAGATGCTGGGCAAAATCACTGTCATTGCGACCATCCTCGTCCCACTCAACCTCGTATGCGGTATGTTTGGTATGAACGTACCCGTCCCTGGTGGCGCGGACGGAGGCAGCCTTGCGTGGTGGTTCGGCATCCTAGGAGTCATGACGGCGTTTGTCGCCATGTGTTTGCTCGTCGCTCGGAGACTGAAGTACATTTAGCAAACGACAGCCCGGAACACCTCACCGTCGCCTGCTATTCGTGGGTGGAGCCGCCTACCGGCACATTTCTGCTTTTTCCTTGGGTGCGAATACCTTGTGGCTTGCGTCACGTTATTCTTTGTCTTTGTCCTTCTAGAGTACTTTGCCATTACTTCCCTTTGTCTTGTCTGTTTGCGACGCCTCGTTTTGCGCCTCGACATATGAAGATTTCGGTCCTCACGGAAACTAATTTTCGTCTTCTCTGTACTTCTTCGCCTTCGTGCATTAGTTTACTGATATTCTTAATCGGCGTTGCATCAGGTGGAGATGTGCCGTTTTGAGAGGGGCTACTAAAAGGGAAGGGAGGAAATGGAGTGGCTGGATGCAACGGGAGTTGGCAGAGGGAAAAACGGCTAGAGCGTTTTGGATGCGGCATTTTGGATCTTTCTATCCTTTTTCTCCTGCAAGCTTCTTGATTTTACGCGAGAGGTGCCTTGCTTGCTTTTTGACCCGGGGTGATGCAAGCAGTGCTGAGCCGAGTGCCGCGGGTTTGCGTCGACGAGTTTGTATTTGTCGCTTTCCAGCCTGTCCCCCAGGCTCCAGCTCTGAGAACTCCAGAGTCCGAACGGATCTTCTTGCCGGCTGGACGCGTCGAAGCTCAATATATTTATTCGACTGCTCTTCCTCTTCGAAACGAGAACCTTGCGCGTCTTCTTTTGTGTCGGTCCGGGGTTGGAGGACGAGGACCTTGATGGGCCTTGTGCTTCGCGCCTCTCTGGCCCCGATCCTTATATATACCCACCTTCTTGACACCTCCTCGACCCTCTATCTAAACAGCTTTTCACTTTTTGCTTAGACCCTATATATGCACGCACAGTCAGCGCCCTTTCTGCTCTCGGCGCCAACGTTGTCCAGCGCAGTGGTGTAAGTTCCTTTCTATTTCAACTCTCTATTCTGCTTTGCCTTCCCCCTACCAACTGCTCGTGCTGTGGATGGTTGCGGACTCTTCCGAAATTTACATGCTGATGTTAACAACCCCAGTCGTGGCGCCTCTCTTCGCCGCGGAGGTTTATCCCGACCAACCGCCAGTCGGAGTACGCGACTTTGTGCCTCTTGCGTTGCGTAAGCCTCTACCTAAATGGGCTCTATGGGGAGTCAATACTAACCAAAACATATTAGAATGCGGGTTTGAAGGCTCAAGAGCTTGAAGACTGCCGCCGACGGCCTCATACTTTGAGACAGATAACATGAACTACGGCGGTCCTGATGAACGCTGGTCCACGGCGTCACTCTCCTTGGCGGGCACTGCGGCATGTTCATTCCGTTGCAGGCCTCTCTGACAGTGAACTCATGCTCTGCTGATTATGAGGAATAAACACGCTTTGGAGACTGGAATTCGTCATCTTCGGCTTCCCATTCTCTGCCCTCGGTTGCCTCAACGCCATATGTCTTTTCTCCGCCTGAGGATGCTCTGATAAGTAGAGCAGAGGAGCCACTGACAAGGAAACTTCGTTGGGAAATACCGAGGATGACACCTTCTTCAATTAGCTCCGTATTTAATACCAGGATCATATTCTGGGAACCTTTGTCTCTCAAGAGATGGACACCCGTGCCTCATTGGCGAAATGTTACAACGGCACTCACAATGTCTTTGTCATTCCCAGCACTGCCGTTAGCTCTACCGCGACGGATACTCGTACAAGTGGTCGGATGTTACACTTCATCAGAATGCGCAGCCAAGGGTCTTGATGTACAACCCGTTGTATGACCAGACCGATGTGGAAAACATAGTTGATGCTGCACAAGTCGTTCAGGGCTTCCATCCAGATGAATGGCCCTTGGCCTACACTCAGGCATGGAACACTTTTGGCAAGTCAACACTCCCGAACGACTTCTTGTCAAGTCCCGGCATCGACCTCCTGCGTTCAATGATCCTCTCAACCTCGAACCGCCCCCTGTCCAAGACTGGCATGGCAGTGTTGGAGGATGCCGGGCTGCGCTCGCGGATTAAGGTTCACTGTCTGCAACCTCGACTCCGTTGACTCACGCACCCAATGCTTCATCCTGCCGAGACGCAAAGCAATGCCTGTAATGGAGGGTGCGCGCCCAATGTCACAAGTTCATGAAACACACTAGACTTCTAAGAAAACGCTTCCGTATGCCTAGCCAAGGATCTCCGAGCTTTTCACTCTTTCCTTTAAAAAATAGAATAATAATAATAATAAAAAAAAACCTATCCGAGTGTATTTTGTCCAGCTACTGGAGCATATACTTTTGGGCTGCACGTACGTAACCAATAAAAGCTTGGATTACTAGCGACGGCGGAGGTAGCAATCACGGCACCTTTTGTCAAGCTTGAACTTCAAAATGCGGAAGTGAGGAATGCTCCTTGAAAAGCGCTGTGATGCGGCTTATTCCTGAATTCTGCTATGATTATTTCGATGATGTCTGTCTAAGCCAAACACCAATATATGACTGTGGGGGAAGTAAATACAGAGGCTTCGTGTCAGACAGTTTTAGTTAAGAGATACTCAGTGACAAGTCAAAAAACGATTCGCTTGTTTACGCCAAAAAAATATAAATAGCGATGGAAAGTTAAAAACGTATAGTCTACAATGGCAAACATGCTTTTATCAAGAATAGAGCAAAACATAAAATAGATCATCCCCAGGAGAATAAACCTACAAGAAGGGAGTCAATATGAATTTCTTCATTTTTTTCCAAACACTTTTAGTTTAACAAATCAGGAACTCTTTGCTCTTAACCGGTTAGTCCTGCAATAAATGAGAAAAGCAAAAATGCAATTACAATATCCCGTACAAGCTTTTATGCACTTTTAAATGACTCGGCAATATCATAAGGGGCAAGGAGCTGCTGTGGTCGGTCTCCATCGCGACGGCGGTTGCGGGGATGACAATAGATAAAGAATTAGCCGATGGAGACTTATAGGACTTGATGGCGAAGTCAGTGACGAAGTAGCAGCGAGTGTAACAGTAAGCTTAAATAACGAGGTCATCATAGTCAACAGTATCCATATGACAGGAGGTAAAATAAAAAACATAATACCGACCTGGATAAGTTCGTGCATAAAGCTCCAAACCACTGTCTTCTAAAACACGCAGACCCAGATCCGAGACTGGTCGGCGCGGCGCGAACAAAGCTCATGCTTCATAAGCCATTTCGCCGCTTTAAACGGTTCATCAATTGCGATATTTTGAATCAAATAAAGGGACACCGAGGCAGAAGTCATGAAATAGTTAATCTTTCTCCAAAAAAGATCACCAACTTTTCTGCATAATGACGATGACGAGGTACTTAATTTGGATCTGAACAACACCGACATCTCTTCCCCTTTTTCAATTTCATTTCACTTACTTCTTCTGATGCTCTTTGGCCTCCTCTTCTTCTTCTGGCGCGATCCCTCTACTGCTCGCCTTTCAAGTAGGGCTCTGCAGGACGATACGACTGTTCTCTGCTAGGTTTTCTTCATGTACAGAGACATTGCAACTGTGAGTGCTTCTTAGTGAGACGCTCGGTAACCAAGGCCTTTTAAACTGAAAAGTTCCGAAGTTTCTATGAATGGCTTTTGCATCCTTTTAGCACCGAAAGCTGGGGAACCTTACTCCTAAAGGTAGATGTATTAATTAAGCACTGATCTGTAACGGAGGCGAAAATATACCTTCCTCGTGTAATAAAACGACTCCTACTATCTCCTTATCATGTTATTGCCGCACTGATGTGCTCCGTACTGCTCGTACCCGTAAGAGTGCTGTACGTTGCCGCCGGTGCGGCAATAGCTGCAAAGAGGAAGAAGTTGGTTGTCACCGTGAATTGAAAAGGGTGTTGGGGAATAAAAAGAAGGGAATCCAGAGAGCACGGAATTGTTTGGCTCCATCAATTCAAAGGAGCGAAGAGAAAACCGCTTATAAGTAGCTAAGAAACAATCGGTGGGTATGGCAGTGTTTAGTCAATACGTGGTTAAGGGGTAAGCCTAATATTTAAAAGGAAATGGCACCGGGCCTTCTAAAAATACTAAGTTAAAGCAAATAAAAATAATCGACTCTTCTTCGAAATAATTTCATAGCCGTATTACTATATATATATATCACGAATCCTCTACCTTTATCACTAACAAAACAATACCGAAGACTTTAGTAGAACAAATCCTACCCTAGCGTCCTAGATATAACGCCGCTCCGCATACCCATCGAATGTCGACGATAACTAACCTCTCCCTACAACAACAATCCCCACCACCAAGCCTATAAGCTTACGCAGTTATAAGCCCTGGAAGCGCCTTGCCAATTGCACGATCCATAAGGTGAATGCACGCACCCGGCCCCCTTGCGCACTTGGCCTGCCAATTAAGACCAGCAGATGAGAACAACGGCCACGATGTCAGACGCGTTTTCGAGCATCAAGAATAATCAGTCTCCGTGCCTCCAGCGCACGTGAAGCGCGGGCATCTTGCTGGATCCCTGTGCCATGTAGACATGCTTTCGCCGCCGCCGTGCCTGCCCTGCATAGGGGGACCTGAAACCAAAGCTCTCTCGAGGACAACAGGGCCGTGACCGAAACCCCTCTATTCATGAACAGACCGACAAGACCAAAAGCGCGAGATCGGTCAAAGTGTCAAGGCACCTCCGATGGCGCGAGAAACGCCGACGTCAGCGCCGCGCTAAACCCAGCACGGCAGCCGACGGGAAAGCTCGTCACCGAGCCGTCCGCGAAAGATTGACTGCGCGACAATCCTCAAGCACTACACCACCACGCGCAACCACGCACCTCCGCCAATCCTCTCCAGCTCAGCCGCTGCTCCCACCACACGTTAGCTACCACACGAAAAAAGCAGCAACAATGGACGTCTTCGGCGACAGCAAGCTCGACATCTCCAAGCTGACGGAGAAGGACAAGGCCGAGCTGCAACAGTTCATCGTCGCCGAGTCGCAGAAGGCGCGCATCCAGCAGTGTACGGATTCCCCTCTACCCACCAACCCACCAACCCACCAACCCAAGCGCAAAACTAACGCCTCTCTCAGCAATCCACTCCCTGACAGACATCTGCTTCAAGAAGTGCATTCCGAGCAAGATATCGCAAGGCAAGCTCGACCGCACCGAGGAGCCGTGCATGGCCAACTGCGTCGACCGTTTCCTCGACGCCAACCACGTCGTGCTGCGCCAGTTGGAGACGCTTCGGAATGCGTAGGCGACGGTCGGCGGCGGCGCGTTTGTCGCTGGCTGGTAGCGCGGGGAGGAAGGAGGGAAGGAAGAAGAAGACTTGGGGCGGATGGATGGATGAGTGGAATGGCGGGCACGAGAGTGGGTGAAGGCAGAGACGACATGAATGCTCGCTCGGGCTGTGGATGGTTGACGGATGGCTCGGAGCGCAGCTTCAGCGCGAGCGCGAGCCTGGTGACGCTGCGCCAGGCGCGTCATATTGTAGATTAAAAGCAACAGAATCTCCACTGCGAGAAGAAAGCTTGGACAGCAAGCTGCGGATCAAAAAACGCCAAAAAATTTCCCAAACCACCACCACAAGCACACACAGAGCACAAGCATGCACGCATTGACGTCACAAGAGAGGCCCCGACTGCAAATAGACGACAAAATGCTCCAACTGCAGACCGAAGCGTTTGGGGTATCAAATAAAAAGTTTGCCCATTGACACAAGTGAATTGGCTGTTCCGATTCGCTATTCACGAACTTGACCCAGATGACATTTTTTAATTCCCGGCCTTTGCTAAACCAGCCACAACAGCCGCAAAACTCCTGCCCCGTTTTTCGTTGTTTAGACGATGGCCAGCTTGGTGGCGGCGATGTCGAGGGCGTCGACATCGGGGGTCAGGCGGGCGAAAGCCTTCTTGGAACCATCAGGGCTGGAGACGGACGAAATTAGCGCGCAATTCCTTCAATTTGACGGTCCGAACAACAGGGTAAGCCTACCGGATCAGGGTGTTGATCTTGATGGTGTCGACGTCGTAGAGCTTCTTAAGAGCGTCCTTGATCTGGCGCTTGTTGGACTTGACGTCGACGATGAAGACGAGGGTGTTGTTCTCCTCGATCTTCTTCATGGCGCTCTCGGTGTTGAGCGGGTGGATGATGACCTTGGAGGCATCGAAGCGGGGCTGGTGCGGGATCGAAGTACGGGGGTACTTGGGCGCGCGCGACAGCTGCAGCGTCTTGGGCTGGTGGAAGGTGGTGCTAAGGCGAACCTTGCGGACCTTGTGCGAGTTGACCTATAAAAGGCCGTGAGCGATGGGGTGCTCACACGCCACTTGAAGGGGTCCTTACGCCGCGGAGAGTGGCCTTGGCCGCAGCAGAAGCCTTGGCGGAGGGCTTGGTAGCTGGAGAGAAGAAGAATCGTCAGCTCATGGTTCCGTTTCATGGTGGTGAGGGAAAAGCTCTGCGCTTGCGCCCGTCGCGAGGGGAAAATCCACCCAACGTCGCGATGCCGGAGAGCGTTTTTTCCTGCACATACCCTTCTTGGTGTCCTTGGGGGCCATTGCTGTGGTTTGTCGTCCGGGTTGTCGGTCGTGAAGTCGTCGGATGTCGAGTGGAAGTCGTGAATATTTGCGTTGAAGTTCCCACAGACGAAACTCGCTTGACCTTCCCTACACGGCCTAGTGGCCGCCAAGATGTGCCGCCGAACCGCCGCCCGTGCACGCCCTCACTGCGCGCGACAAATCCCATGATACCTAGTCAGTTTTAACTACTGTCGCAATGCCCAGAATAGATGAGCAGTACCTGGGCAGTCATGGCCGCCACCAAACGCAAAACCAAGAAACCCGCCTCCCTCGCCGCTGGCCGCTCTAAGCACCTCTCCACCCACAAGCCCGGCAGCAGCAGCAGCCTCTCGGCCAAAGCCACGGCCAGCATCATCCGCCGGCACCACCAGCTGCAGAAAGCGCACGCGCAAGCCGTGCGCGCCGGCGAGCATGCCCGCGCCGCCGCCATCCAGCGCGACATCGACGCCGCCGGCGGAATCGAAACATACCAGGTCGCGAGCATTACGGGACAGAGCTCTGAGCGCGGCGGCGACAGCAGCCGCGTGCTGGTCGATTGGTTGGAGGAGTTGCAGCCTGCACTGAAGAAGAAGGGCGCCGCGCACAAGGAGAAGAAGGAGGAGGAGGGGAAGGCTGAGGAGAGTCGTCTGCGTCTTCTCGAGGTCGGCGCACTCTCCACCACAAATGCCTGCTCCAAGCGCCGCTACTTCGCCGTCGAGCGCATCGATCTGCACTCCCAGGGCGCGGGAATCACCCAGCAGGACTTCATGCAGCGCCCGCTGCCCGTGTCCGACTCGCAGCGCTTCGACGTCCTCTCCCTCTCCCTCGTCCTCAACTACGTCCCCGACGCCGTCGGCCGCGGCGAGATGCTCCGCCGCACTTGCGCTTTCCTCTCTCCCAACACCCCCGCTGTTGGCAGCGAGCGTAGCGAGCGCAGCGAGCACAGCGAGCAAGATGAGCAAAGCGAGCAGAACAAGCAGAACAAGCAAGACGAGCAGAGCGAGCACAGCGCAGACGACCAACCCCCGCCCTTCCCCGCGCTCTTCCTCGTGCTCCCCGCCCCCTGCATAACCAACTCGCGGTACCTCGACCGGGCACGGCTGGGCGCCATCATGGGCAGCCTGGGCTACGTGCCGCTGCGCGAGAAATTGACCGCGAAGCTCGTGTACCAGCTGTGGCGGTACGACGGCCCTGCCATAGGGGTGAAGAGGAAGCAGCAGCAGTTTCCTAAAGTCGAGGTGCATGCGGGGGGGAAGCGCAATAATTTCTGTGTCGTGCTGGAGTAGAGTGTCTAGGCGGATTAGCCGGCTGGGCGGGTGGGGGGTGCGTGGATGGATGGGGGAGGAGTAAGTGAGTGAGTGAGTGAGTGGACGCGGAGACGGGGGATGTTGTGCGCATGTGCGTGTGCTTGATGTACCAGGCAGTGCCTTCATGGAAGCAGCCATCCGTTCAAGCACTCCCGAACCTCGACACCAGAACACACAACACACACACCAAGCCAAGCGACAAGAGCTGAAAACGACTTTTCCTTCCCCACCACAGCACCACAGCCTATACCATATATCTACCGACCAGCCATCCAATCTTCACCCGCAACAACAGCCACCACCACCAACACCAACAAATTACTCCCCACCCCCTCCACGCCACGGTCCGCACAAAGAAAGAAAGAGAGAAAGAAAGAAAGCAGCAACCACCCACCCACCCGCCTACCACATCATCATCGGCGATCAAAGGCGCAAAAAGCCAACGCTTTCGCCCAATCACACGACGACCGCAACCAGCAACAGCAAGGCGACCCTCCCACGCAGGAGGACCTAGATAGCGAGGATCCAAAGCTCTCGCAAGCCCAATCATCAGCCAAGCCAAGCCAGAGCGATGTAGCTGGCCCCTCGCTCCCAGCAGCAGCATGCATGCAAAGGGCAGCGCCACTCAGCGCCAGCATCCGCCTACGCTATCATGGTCGCCCACATATCCGCCTAGCTGGAAGCGCCGGTACTGCAAGCAAGCAGGCAAGCAGGCAAGCAGGCAAGCAGGCAAGCAGGCAGGCTTCCCATCTCCGACTCCGTCTCCACCTCCGCCCCGCCTCGCAGCAGAGCAAGGTCCCATCCGCCAAAGCGACTTTTACGCCGGCCAGCGCAATGCAGCGTCACGCAAGCCAGGCCGAAGAAAAAACAAGAAACAAAGAACAAGACAAGACAGGGTCTGCCGTGCGCCGCCGAGCTAACTGCGGAATTAAGTAGCAGAACGAAGAGAAGGGAAGGGAAGAGAAGGGGTGAGAGAAAGGAGGTTAGCAGGATAGGAGGATAGAGGAAGGCAGGAAAGCTACCACTAAAAAAGACAAGAAAAAAACACAGACAGAAAATACAACGCCGCGCCAGGCTTACCAACAATGCGCGATCGTCGTCGAGGGATAGAGTCAGAGGAAAGGGACATGTACACGTGAACGTCTAATCGTAACTCGCATGAGCGGAGCCACGACGCTGTCATGGAATGCTTCAACGCGCTTTGCTCCGCTCAACTCACCCGTCTCGCATCATCAGCACCGCTACCAACAACACCCCCTCTTCTCACCGCCTAAGCCCCCAGCAGCTCCTTAGGCAAGCAAGCAGCCACGGTGCTCACAAGCGCCATAACCGAGCTCACCACAATCAAGACCCAATTCATGGCCGTTTCGCCGCGGCCCAGCTCCTTGCCAAACAGCTTGAGATTGAACGCCAGCGGCAGGATGATGCAGATCGTGAAGCACGCGACAGCGCCCATGAGCGTCATGATGCGGTCGAAGCTGGGCAGCGCCACCGCCATAAGCACGAAGACGATGGTCGTCGCGACGCGGATCCCCACCTTCAGCAGGCCGCGGTTGAAGCCGTTGGCGCCGACGAGGGCTTGCGTACCCGCGAGGCTGCGCGCGTCCAGCCCGAGGAAGAGCTCGATTGTGCTGATGATGGGGCGCGCGTTGAGCGGCACTTTCGTGAGTGGGATAATCGCTATGCAGATCACGATTAGGAAGGACAGGGAGTGTGGGTATCCTGGCGTGAGGAGGATGTTGGAGGTGACTTCGTCGAGGACGCCGTCGCCGAACATGAGGATGCCGACAACGGCCATGCTGATGTCGAGAAGGAACTGGGGTGGCGTTAGAGAGGTGGAGACTATGTGTGGGGAGAGGGGCTTACAGTGAAGCTGTAGGTAATGTTGACGCCGCGGGTATACTTGTACGGGTGCCGCATATCTCGGTAAATGTTGGGGAAAACGGAGTGGCCGCCCCAGGGTGCTGCGGATGCGTTAGTATACTGGCCAATAGAATCAATCCTGCTCTAGACTTACACATCATGAGACCAAAACTGAGTGGAACAGTGCCCCAGTGCGCGGGGAACAGATATGTCTTGGCCGGCTCCTGGAGAGACCCGGGCTGGTGCGGCTTGATCGCGCCATCGATAAATACCATACAAACGACTGAGACATCCCGTTAGCTTCGAACATGCTTTTGCCACGGTGATACATACTGCCGAGACAAGAGAGGATACCCAGGATGCTCGTGAAACTAAGTAAACGCAAAGGAAGAAATCCCAAGGGTATCAAAATAGCGCCGCAGACGAATTTCCAACCGAGAAGGCCGAATCCGGGAATAAGCGCGTTGAGACTATCGGCAAACAGGACCACCAATGCCACGCACGAGGCCAGCAGCTCCAGGGTGAAAAGAATGCTGACAGCAATCCTGGCACGAGAGCCAAAAGCGACGTAAGCAAGGTCGGCAAATGTGATTAAAGAGCTGTCCACGTCCAAGCATTTTGCGAGGACCTTGGCCGTGTAGGATGTGGTAATGGCTGCAAAGACGAAGAAGAGAATGCCAATGACCCAGCCGGAGTATTTCAGGGCCAAGGGCAAGGTGAGAAGGCCGACGCCAATCAGGACGTTGACCGAGTTGAAGATGGTCTGCGGAAGAGTCGACTGGCCCACCACGACGTTGATAATGTGCCCGTCTTCTTCAACCTGCTTTACCAACAATGGCTCCCTGTCTTGCTCCGGGCCGGCCTGGGCGCCTTTAAGTTGCTGCTCAGTGAACAGGCGGCCCGCATGGCGCATCGACGACTCGTTTGCGCGGTCCCGGAGACTGCCGTAGGTGGTTCCATAGCTTGCAGCAAACGGCGACGACAAGGCCGGTTCAATTGAAAAGATGCTCTCCTCGCGGAATGAATTTCTCGTCTCGTCGATGCGCGACTGCACCGGGGTGATGGTGGTGCCCCCTTCGTCGTCCAGCTCCGTAGCCGCATCGTCAGAGGGACGGCGCCCTTCGCTCTCAAAGGCCTCGCGGAGCAGCGAACGGTGCTCTCCCGGGGAAGATTCGATATCGCCATGCCTCTCGGCTATGTCATCGGCACCCGGGGCGCGGTATGCGCGCACCGGCGTGACCTCGTGGAAGCCGGCGGCGCGCTGCCACGAGCGGGCAAAGTTGTCGATGCTGTTGACGCCGCCAGCGTGACGAATGGAGCTGAAGCGCATCGACATGGAGGACCTGGGTGGGTTAGACTGGTTAGACTCGGTCGGGGGCGCGGGGGTGGGGCGTCTGGGTACCTTCTCTGGCGCAGACGGTTGGCCAGTCCGCTGCTGCTGTCCGCTCGCGACGGGGAGCCTCTTTCCTGATCGGGGGCATCCTCCCATTGGACGTGGCTGCCGGTGCTGGAACCGAACGAGCCCCGACGGATGCCCTCGTACTCGTCCCAGGTCGTAGGCGGCTTGCGCGGGACATCCATGGTTCCAGGCGAATAAAAAGACCAGAGAGTCTTGGACTGGGGAGAGGCGGGGGCCCTGGGGCGAGGTTTATATATCAATCACGGTGAGGATTCCAGGTTTCGCTAAGATAAGGTCACCAGGGTTCGGGCATCGTCGAGATGGTGAAGGAATCGCGTCGGAGAGTGGCGACCTACGGCGAGACCAACGGGCGGCAGCGGGCGCGCAAGGGATTTGGCGTGCGCCCGAGCGAAAAAAAGCATCAATACATGAGGACATGCGCCGCAAGTTCTTCGCAGTCTTCTGACCGGCGAGAGAAGCGCAGCGCCTCGCCTGCCGCTCGGGCCCGTATGACGCTGCTCACTGGCAAGACAAGCGAGGCGAATTTTGTGTGGGAGACAGCGACGTAGCTGACTCTGCCCAAAGCACCTGGTATTGTGGACTCACTCTCGCAGCCTAGCGGCCCGCACCTCGTCCCCTCGTCCCCTCGTCCCCTCGTACACCTACTTAAGTCCTTCCGCCCTTCCTCTCCTGCCACTCATCCCATCACTTGGCGCGATCCCCGCTTGACCGTCGCCCACCATGAGTGCTCCGCAGCCCAACGACGCCGAGAAGAACATTGAGATATGGAAGGTCAAGAAGCTGATCAAGCGCCTTGAAGCCGCGCGCGGCAACGGCACCAGCATGATCTCGCTCATCATCCGTCAGTAGTTGCGCCCGCCTTGTCTCCCACCCTGTTGCCTCGCTCCCGCTGACTGCTCTCGCCCTTGCAGCGCCCAAGGACCAGGTCTCGCGTATCTCCAAGATGTTGGCTGAAGAATTTGTATGTCGCCTCGCCCCGCCCCGCCCGCTCTGGCGACACGTGCTGACGCGCCCCAGGGTACTGCCTCCAACATCAAGTCGCGCGTCAACCGCCTGTCCGTCCTGTCCGCCATTACCTCGACCCAGCAGCGCTTGAAGCTCTACTCCAAGGTTCCGCCCAATGGCTTGGTCGTCTACTGCGGTGAAATCATCACCCAGGAAGGCAAGGAGCGCAAGATCAACATCGACTTTGAGCCCTTCAAGCCCATCAACACGTCGCTGTACCTTTGCGACAACAAGTTCCACACCGAGGCGCTGAGCGAGCTGCTCGAGTCGGACCAGAAGTTCGGCTTCATCATCATGGACGGAAACGGCGCGCTCTTCGGCACCCTGTCCGGCAACACCCGCGAGGTTGTCCAGAAGTTCTCCGTCGACTTGCCTAAGAAGCACGGCCGTGGTGGTCAATCCGCTCTGCGTTTCGCCCGTCTGCGTGAGGAGAAGCGTCACAACTACGTCCGCAAGGTCGCCGAGTTGGCCGTGCAGAACTTCATCACCGCCGACAAGGTCAACGTTGCCGGTCTCATTCTGGCCGGTTCCGCCGACTTCAAGAACGACCTGAACCAGTCGGACCTGTTCGATCAGCGTCTGCAGGCCAAGGTCATCAAGGTCGTCGATGTTTCCTACGGTGGTGAGAACGGCTTCAACCAGGCCATCGAACTGGCCTCGGAGACGCTCAGCAACGTCAAGTTCATCCAGGAGAAGAAGCTCATCAACAAGTACTTCGAGGAGATTTCTCAGGACAGCGGCAAGGTCTGCTACGGTGTCGACGACACCCTCAAGGCCCTGGAGCTCGGTGCGGCCGAGATCCTGATTGTCTACGAGAATCTGGAGATTACCCGCTACGCCCTCAAGTCCTCGGCGGGCTCCGAGGTCGTCCTCCACCTTAACAAGCTGCAGGAGGATGACCGTACCCAGTTCATGGACAAGGAGACTGGTCAAGAGATGGAAATCATCGACCAGATGCCTTTCCTCGAGTGGCTCGCCGAGAGGTACCGCGACTTTGGTGCCACTCTCGAGTTCGTTTCGGACCGTTCCAGCGAGGGTAACCAGTTCGTCAAGGGCTTTGGTGGTATAGGTGCCATTCTCCGCTACAAGGTCAACTTTGAACAGCTTGCCGATTACAGTGACGAGGACGAATTCTACGATGGTAAGCTCTTCCGCGGAAAAGAAAATTAGTAGTTCCTCGCTAATGTTTCAGATTGACGGTTTTGCACCCTCGCTGTGAGCGAGGAAGTACCCCCAGAGAAAGCTGCTCCCGGCACTCTGACGGCTTCCCGCTATGAGCGTCACGTCGACGCTCCGGAGCCCAAGGACTGCGGCCTCGCCGGCCTCGTCCTTCGCTCCAGATTATAAGGGAGTAAATGAGGCACACGAAGATAACCGTAAGTACTCTGCGATGCTATCCTGCAAACAACATCAACTCACACACAAACGGCAGGAGTCTCGCGAAAGAGCCAGATGCTCGTGATCTGGCCGATTCGGCTCGCTTAACGCAAAACGGTGATACCCACGGTTCGACTTGGAGGCAGGCAGCGCGCAGGCCCTTCGAGGCGAGCAATGAAGCGAGCAGATGGGGATACGCTCTTTCGGACGGACAGGCGGAGGTCTTTGTGCAGTAGCGTTGTGATTTCAGATTGCCAGAAGCATCCTGCGGGAGGCCAGATAGCTCATGAGTTGCTGCAACTGCGATTTTGCGATGCGCGGGTGTCTTTTGGTTGGTGCAAACATGTGTGGTGGTGATGGCTAGCGTGAAACCCCGAGAAATTCTGACGTCCGGGCGAAGTCCCAGCTCATCAGACGGCGGACGGATTGACCGGGGAGCAATGGGCAAGCCGGGGGCCCAACAGGAACAATCGAGTCCATCCTTACGTGAAGCGACTATATCCTGCGGCGCTGCGCGCATTTGCTCTCTCCCCTCCATCCCCTCCGTCTCGCCTATCCCCCCCCCACATCGCCCAGCCAGCTCCCTCCCCATGGCCTTCCGAGACACGGTCGCCTTCCTGGGCCCAAGGGCCTCGTATACGCACCAGGTGAGTAGCTCGACAGTCGCGGCGCACCCCTTCTGACCCGTCTGGCAGGCGGCGCTCGACCATTTCGACCAGTCGACGCACGAGCTGCGGGCCGAAATCACCATCGAAGACGTGTTCGCGGCGGTGCAAGACGGGCGGGTGCAATGCGGCGTGGTGCCGTTTGAGAACTCGAGCAACGGGTCCGTCGTCTTCACGCTGGACCTGTTCAGCGACCTGAAGGCGCGCTACCCAGACATAGTCGTGTGCGGCGAGAGCTACGTGCGGGTGTCGCACTGCTTGCTGGGGCGGGCCCCGCCCGGGGCGTTGTCGTCGTCGTCGTCGTCGTCGCAACTCCAGGTCCAGCAAGCGCAGCAGCAGCAGCAGCAGCTTGCGCCGCCCAAGAGCGCCGTCTCGCACAGCAGCGCGGGCCACGACAGTCGTAGCATGCGCTCGTCGCCCGCGTCCTCGATTTCCGGACGCGCGCCGCCGACGCCGGATCCGAGCCGGGTGCGGGCGAGCCTGCAACCCCTCGTCGACATCAGTCACGTGCGGCGCATATACTCGCACCCGCAGGCGTGGGGCCAGTGCAAGGGGTTTCTGGCGGCGCATCTGAAGGGCGTGGAGCAGATTGACTGCTCGTCGACGTCCAAGGCGGCCGAGGAGGCGGCGCGCGACTCGTCGGGCACCAGCGCCGCCATCTCGTCGGCCCTCGCCGCGCAGATGTACGGCGTGGACTACCTGGCGCGCGGCATCGAGGACTCTGCCGACAACACGACGCGGTTTTTCGTCATTAGGAGGAAGGTTGAGCGCGAGGCCATGACGCGCGTCACCATGGCGTTTAGGCCAAAGGACTCGGATTCGCTGAGCGACGACATGGACCGCTACAAGACGATGGTGTCGTTCACGGTGCCGCATTACGACGCGGGCGCGCTGGCCGACGCGCTCCACGTCTTCAAGGAGCACGGCCTGAACCTCACCAGCCTGAACACGCGGCCCTCGGGCTTCGAGAAGTGGAACTACGTCTTCTTCGTCGAGTTCAAGGGCCGCCGGCTCGCGGGCAAGGCGGGCGCGGTCAACGAGGCCCTGGCGGATCTGGGCAAGCTGGCGCGCAGCTGGCGGTGGTTGGGCAGCTGGGAAAGGAAGCTGAAGACGTGAGGAGGTGGGATGGAGGGGCTGTAGATAGCTACGGAGATAAGCGCGGAAATAATATATACATATGTCGAGAGCTTGAGCTTGGGCGGAGCTTTTCGGCTGTGTTGATCTCGGCGGGTCCCACAACAACATTCCATCTCACTTTCTGCCTTTGACCTTACTCTATCCTCTGTACATAGACACTCCCCCCACCACAATGCGCCACCTCGTCCCCCACCGCGCAAGGGCGCCAATTTCAACGCCCTCGCGGCTTCTTCTTCCCCGGCCTCAGCTCCGTCACGTCTCGTACCGTCACCAGACGTTCCGTCGCGTCGTGCTGCCGAACCCCAACGCCAAGCCGGCGGACAACAAGCTCGACGAGCTCACCCAGCGCCGTCTTCCGCTCATCTACTCGGACCTCACGCCCGGGAACTCGCACGCCCTGACTGCTTCGCTGGCGTCGTTTTTGCCGGCCGAGTGGACGGCGCCTTGGGCTTCTTATACTACTGCCAGCTCCTCTGCTGACAATGCCGCTGCCAGCTCCTCTACTGACAATGCCGCTGCCAATTCTTCTGCCGACGAGGCTGCTGCTAACGCTCCCGCTGACGATGCCGCCGCCAACTTCTCCGCCGACACAAACACGCTCGACATGTCTGCCCTTCCGCCCATGAGCCCTGGCGTCCCGCTATCCGCTGCCGACGATGCCGCTGCCAGCTCCTCTGCTGACAATGCCGCTGCCAATTCCTCTGCCGACAATGCCGCCGCCAACTCCTCCGCCGACAAAAGCTTGCGCAAAACGCTTACCCTCCCGCCGACGAGCCCTGCCGTCCCGCTGCCCCCCGCGCACCACCTCGTATACTTCAACCCGGCCGTCCCCGCCGAGGAGCTCCTGCCCGACGGGACGGACCCGTTGCAATCGCCGGGGGAGCCGTTCGTGCGGCGCATGTGGGCGGGTGGGCACGTTGCGTTCAATCCTTCGGCGCCGCAATTCGAGCTCAATGGCGCGCGCGCGGTGTGCGTGGAGAAGGTAAGAACTGCGAATTTCAAGGGGTACGTGGGCGCGGAGAATGTATATGTGGGCATTGAGCGCCGGATGGGCTATGTGAAGGAGGGGGAGAGCGAGGAGCAGCTGAGGGAGAGGTTGTGGGGCGAGACGGAGGACGACTGGCGCGATGCCGTGTGTAGGGAGAGGAGGAATCTTGTGTTTCTGAGAGGGAGGACCAAGTATGAGGCATATGCTGAGATGGTGAAGGCTGAGGCGGAGAAGAACAGCAAGAAGATACTGAGGCGTGAGTTTGATCCTTCTTTGTCCACCACCCCACACGCACATTCCTCCGAGTGCGGGGGAAATGGGGCGGCTGAGGCAAACATAGCAAAAGCTAACATTCCCAACCAGCATTGACCCCGCCAACCTTCAGCCACACCCTCACCCCGACGCCCTCGCTCCTCTTCCGCTACAGCGCCCTCACCTTCAACGCGCACTCCATCCACCTCGACCCCGAGTACTGCCGCACCGTCGAAGGGTACCGCGGGATGCTCGTCCACGGCCCGCTGACGTTGACGCTGCTCATGGCGCTGCTGAACGGGCACATCGGGCCCGGCAAACGCGTCACCTGGCTCGGGTACCGCAACCTGATGCCACTGTACTGCAACGAACCGATCAAGCTGTGCGGCATCAAGGCGGAGCGCGAGTCGAGCGATGGCGTCGAGAAGTACGAGATTTGGGCTGAGACGCCTGAAGGCGGGTATGCGGTTAAGGGAGCGGCGAAGGTGGTGAGCGTGTAGGTAGGTAGGTAGGTAGGTTGGTAGGTTGGTTGGTTGGTTGGTTGGTAGGAGGGGGGTGGATGGATGGGTGGAGGGAGGGAGGGAGGGAGGCATGGACGCTTGCTCGCTTGCCTGGTCGCTGGTGCGATGGAGATGGAATGGAAGAAGCAATGGCCACGGATGCGCGAGCGCCCGACTTCCGGCCCATTTCCCCAGACAGACTCGCACGCACACGCACCCAAATCCACAACTCGACACGCCAACCACCAAAGCAGCAGCAGCAGCAGCAGCAGCAGCAGCAGCAGCAGCAGCAGCGACACGGCTCTCCCGGCCTCTGGAGCTCCAACGCGCAACCTCATCAATCTGGAACAGCCCTACATGGCCCAAAGAGGCGATCTAGCAAAGCCGAGTACGTCAACCACGGGACGGGAGCTGGTGCTCCCGAGCCGAAGAACCTAAGCGCGTCCCTAGGTCCATCCGTCCATGCATGCACTCAACAAGCTCGAGCAGGGCCAGCCGTCGCGCGCGTCCTGGTGCTCGGGCCCGGGACTCGGGAGTTGGGCGCTCCGGTGCGGGCGGGTGGTGGTGCGGAAGCGGGGAAGATAGGCTGGTTGTTTGGGGTGTGGGGAAGGCGGTACGGAGTACGGGTGCTGGGAGGGTGGTGCATGGGCTGTGCAGGTAAGGCATTGTGTTGGGTTGGGTGCATGTCTGTGTGTGTGTGTGTGCGGATGGATGTATGTATGTATGGTTGGTTGGGTGGTTTGGGTGAGTGGATGGATGGGTGTGCAGCGGGCTTGTGCTCTGTGCTGTGTGCTATATACTGTGGTGGAGTGTGTAGAGCGTAGAGTGCTTATACGCTGTCTGGCTGTCCGGATGACTGGCTGACAGGCTGGCTGGCAGGCTGAGGGAGATGCGATGAGATGCGCTGAGATGCGATGGGGTAGAAGTGACAATGGTGGTGGAAAGGGTAAGAGTTAGCAGCAGAGAGCAGCGATTGGGCCCATCGCCAGCGTACATAGGCATGAAGCCGTTGTGAGCAGCAGGGCACGCGCGCAACGGCGCGAAGCACGGGCGTTAACTAAGGCGGGTGAGCAGCAGGACCCGTAAGTAGTGGCGACCTAGGCATGTCAGGCTGTCATGTCAGCAATAAAGTTCCGAGAGCGACGGCGGCGCGAGCCGTGCGGATGTAAAGATGTACGGATTACTGATGTACAGATGAACAGATGTACCTACATACGAACATTCTGTGTACGTGGTGGTGGTCAGAAAGCATAGCAAAGTATGTACGGATTACCTACGGAGTATAGCAGAATAAAGGCGAAAACTACAGTGCCCGTCTGTCTCTGCGATCAGGATAAATGCATGGAACCAATGCCCTGCCAACTGCCCTGCCCTGCCCTGCGTGCCTGCCTTGCCGTCGGCTCTCGTCGAGCGATGCCGCCTTGCCTTGCCGCCTTATGAATCGGAGCAGGCTATTGGCGCGGGCGCGACGCGGTGACGCTGTTCTGGACTGTTGACGGGTGCACGGCAAGGCCTTGCGTCAGCCGAGGCCGTTGTTGATCCGTATGCTGGTGGCCGTTGGGCGGGCGTGTCATATGGATGGATGGATGGATGGATGATCAGACCTTCCTTCCTGCCCTCCTACTCGTACCCGTACCGTACCGTCCCTCCCTCCCATTGTCGGGCAGCGCGATGCTAAATTACGTAGGTGTTAAGCACCTGCACAACAAACGTGGGAGGTGTGCGCGATTCATGCGTGCAGTTGTCTGCTGCTGCACGTTGACAGCAGAGGAAAGAAAAAAAAGTTTATTCCACTCGTACGGCGTGCGACGTACGGAGTAGACACCGCGTACGCCCATTCGTAACCCCCCCTATCGTCGTAAGTGGTAGGTCGGTATCAAATAACTAGTGTGCTCGCGATGCAGCCTCAAAGGCCCCCAACCCCAGGTGGGGCAACATGAGCGGGCGGGCAAAACGTCCCCACGTCGCCCTCCCTCCAATTCCATCCTTCCGCCCCCGTGGCCCCCTTCGCTAACAGCCGAGCAGGATTTCCGGCTGTCAGCATCTTGTTTCGAGGACGGCGCCACACCTTGATTCTACCTACATACAACACGGGACACACCCGACGCCTCGTCATCGTGCGCATCCTGCCCCCCGTCCCATCACTTGTACTTCATGTACTGTATGTACAGTCAGCAGGCGACTTGCTGCCGCGCCAGCAGAAGAAGCAGAAGAAGAAGAATGAAGAAGAGCAGGGTCAGGGTAACGATGGCCAGGCCTTCGTCGGATCATCGAATCGAAGCGCACAGGATGGCGCGCGCCACCACCGTCGCCGTGCCCGGCCCCGCGCGTGCGTGCGTGCGTGCTTGCGGATCCTGGCCCCGGCCGTCGCTCTGTGACCTATATACTGGAAAGGGCAAGCGGGCCGCGCGCGCGGTTTTGCGTGCGTGGTTTTGCGTGCGTGATGCTCGCCTGGCCCGGCTGCTGCTGCTGTCTACGTACCTACCTAGGTCCCTTCCTCGTACTGTACATACGTACGCTGCTGGGTGCGAATGCTTGTCACCGCTACTGCTGCTGCTGCTTCTCCGCGCACACACACACACACACACGCATACATCCATACATACATGCCATGCCTCGCGGATCGGCCTCGGATGGCCAGCCTTCCGTCCCGCGCTCATGGATGTCGCTAGGTAGGTACCACCAAAGTCCAGGACAGCCACGCCCTTGGCCTGGCCTTAGTGACCTGCTTGAACGGGACGGGACTGTGGGAGCTCGCACTCCCGCCCGCTGATCGGCCCATGCTTCCAGGAGCGCGGTGGCGGCGAGTCGTGGTTCCGTTCCCCGCATTTTGTGGAGGGGGAGGAATTATAAAAGGTTGGTCGTTTCACTGCTTGTGCTGTTCTATTATTGCCTTCTCTCAGTCTTGTCTGTTTTCTTCTCTTTTTTATCTGGACAAGGAAGGAAGAAAGAAAGAAAGAAAGAAAGAAAGAAAGAAAGATGTTTGTCGACTCGCTTTCGCCCGGCCCGACGTTCGGGCTGGCCATTGCCTTGGTGGTAAGACTGGAAGACAACAACAACAACAATGACTGAAGCATTGCCCGGCTGACTAACGCGCGACAGACGTCCCTTGTGGTGGGACGGATGATGTACAACGTCTACATGCACCCACTACGCAAGTACCCCGGCCCGTGGTGGGCAGCAGCAACCGACTTGCCGCTGATGGTGGCGCGGGCGCGCGGACGGGCCCCGTTCTGGGTGGCGTCGGTGCACGAGCAGTACGGCGAAGTGGTGCGCATCGGGGTGACGGAGCTGTCGTACATCACGCCCGACGCGTGGCGCGACATCCACGGGCACAAGTCGCAGAACGCGGGGCGCGGTAGCCTGCCCAAGAACCTCTCGCAGTACAACCCGGACATTGCAGGCCACAACGGCATCATCCGCACCAACGACCCGGACCACGCCCGCCAGCGCCGCCTGCTCGCCCACGCCTTCTCCGACAAGGCCCTCCGCGAGCAGGAGCCCTTGATCTGCCAGTACGTCGAGCTGCTGGTGCGCAAGCTGGGCGCCATAGCCAAGGGCGACCGCCTTGACGTCAGCAGCCGCGGCGACGGCACCACGGACCTGCTGCGCTTCCTGAACTTCACCACCTTCGACGTCATCGGGGACCTGACGTTCGGCGAGCCGCTGGGCCTGCTGCAGCAAAACGAATACTCGCCCTGGGTCGCCGCCATCTTCAACACGGTCAAGATCGGCAACCTGCTGGCCGTGATAGCGACGTACGCGCCGGCCATCGCCGGGCTGCTCGCCCTCGCCCTCCCGCGCGAAGCGCGCGACGGCCTGCGCCTGCACAAGGAGGACGTCGTTGCGCGCGTGGACAAGCGGCTCGCGCGCTCGACGACGCGCCCGGACATCTGGACGTTTGTGCTGCGGCACAAGAACGACGAGAAGTCGATGCCGTTGCACGAGATGCACGCGACGGCGAGTGTGCTGATGATTGCGGGCACCGAGACGACGGCGACGCTGCTCTCGGGCCTGACGTACACGCTGCTGCGCCCGGACAACGCCGACAAGCTGCAGCGCCTGAAGGACGAGGTGCGCGGCGCGTTTGCGGCGCCCGGCGAAATGACCATGGCCGCGCTGGCGCAGCTGCCGTATCTGCAGGCTTGCTTGGAGGAGGGCCTGCGCCTGTATCCCCCTGTGCCGGTTGCTCTGCCGCGCATCACGCCCAAGGGCGGCGCCGAGATCTGCGGCGAGCATGTCGTGGGAGACGTGAGTTCCCCCCAAACCATCATCCCCTCTCATTGTTACCTTTACAATCCCATTGTTGTCGACTTTGCAATCTCCCCCCCCCCCTCACACACACGAACAAAGCGCCCGCTCTGCTAACACAGCTCCCCTCTTTAGACCACCGTCGGCATCACAATGTACGCGGCCTACCGCTCGCCGCGCAACTTCCACGCGCCAACCTCGTTCCACCCCGAGCGCTGGCTGGCGAACGAAGCCGGGCCCGAATTCGCCAACGACCGGCGCGCCGTGCTGGAGCCGTTTAGTTTCGGGCCCAGGAACTGCATTGGCAAGAAGTGAGTTGCCCTTGGGCCCTGGCCCTAGCCCAACCCCCCCCCCCTTTTTTTTTTAAAAAAAAAAAAAAAAAATACAGGTGCTAATAAAGGTAATACGTAGTCTGGCGTACCACGAAATGCGCCTCATCCTGGCCAACATCGCGTGGCACTTCGACCTGAAGCTGTGCCCGGAGAGCGACGACTGGATGGAGCGCCAGGAGGCGTACGCGCTGTGGCAGAAGCCGGCGCTGCGCGTGGGCGTGGGCATCTCGGACGTTGCGCGGGCGGGGGGCGTGTTTGCTTAGGCTTGCTGTAGGCTTGTTGTGGGTTTGGTGTGGGCTTACTTAGGGGGGCTTGCTTAGGTTTTGTTCGATCGTTTTGTCGTTTGCTTGGAGGAGGGGGGTTTGGGTTTGGTGCGGGCATGTTGGTGGTGCGCGGAGAGGTGTGGTGCCGTAGCTCGGGTTGGGTATATGTGCTAGATGGATCGGGTGGCTATGGGATGGCTAGATTGCGGACGCACGCACACGCGTGTTGGGCTTGGCTTGGGTTGGTTGGGTTGGGGTTTGGCTTTGCTTTGTTGAAGAGCAGTCACGGCTCGCTCCTCTTATCCTACAAACAAACAAACAAGAGGCCGGAAAACGTATTCTTGATGGCGTTGTTCGTGTAGACATGTAACTAGCTGGCGGGTCTTCGCGCTCGCTTGATAGGTACTTACTTCGTTACTTCGTTACTTGACGGACAATTGATGAGTGATGAGTGGCTGGTCTTTACTTACTATGCGCTGTGCGTTTATACGTGCGTATACACCTACTTACGGACAAAACCAAGTCTAAAAGATACGCATACTTTCCTTCTTTCTTTCTTAAACAAACTAACGGACGGGCGGACTTGGCAGTGTTGTGGTGTTTACGGATTATTGATGGATAGATAGCTTAGGACGCGAATGGATGGGATAGGACTGAATAGGACGGAGTAAATAGCTGAGATATATACAGTAAATGTGCTGGTGTGGTGAGATGCGCGCTGCTTGGCTTGGGTTGGATGGTTATAATGTTATATTATGTCTACTCTGCTTTTAGGGTTTAGGTTTAGGTTTAGGTTTGGTTTTGGTTTTGGTTTTGGGTTTCGATGGTGTGTTGTTGATCGTGGAGGGGCGCGGGGGTGGGTGGGTGGTTTAAGGGTGTACGAGGGGGTGTGTGTGTTTATGTATGAGTAAATAACGGAATTGAGTAGGATTGGATTGAGTTGGATTGGTGAGCGGGCAAAGTTGCAAAGTTGCAAACCCATACCCATACCCAAACCTATGGCTATAGCTATAACCATCTAATCCATTGCCTGCCTACTTCCTCGCTTGTCCACTTGCCTGCTCACTTGCGTGCCCAGTTCCTGCTCACCTGCTCACCTGCTCACCTGCGCGCTTGCGTGCTTGTGTGCCTCTTGTTGCCTTGATTTCCTAGTTGCTTGCTTGCTTGCATGTGCGCGTGCTCGCTCTCTCGCGCGTGCTGCTGCTGACTCTGGGGCTGGAGTTGAGAAACGGGGGAAGGGGGAGGGCATATAAGGTCTGCCTCTGCTCTGGACTGTGAGGTAGACGGACAGACAGACATACAGACGGGCTTGTTCCGCTTCTTACAGATACTCGTCGCGAAGCGTACTATGTCGCCCGCCTGCCTGCGCAATGCATTGCCTCTTTGGCTGTCTCGTATCGTGTCGTCTCGTTGTATCCTGTCCTCCTTGCCCTTTTCCTTGCGCCTCGTCTCGTACTCGTGCTCCTGCTCGTGCTCCTGCTGGCTTAGCTGTGTGTACACACGTACGCGTGTCTCGTAAATCGCAAAAGAAAGAGGCAGAATAAGAGACTGGCTCTGGCTCAAGCCGACCATGGCAGCAGCAGAGCTCACCCGAAGCCTCCAATCTCCATTCACCTCGCGTAAGCCACGTTAGGTACACGCTCCGTATGGCAAACAGGCAGGCAGGCAGGCAGGCAGACGGGCAGGCCGGCGGCAAGCACCGCAGGCTTAACAGACCCCAAACCCCGCCCGCAGTCACCACCGCCCGCGCATCCCGTGAAAGGCGCGCGCGGCGGCGGGCCTGCGTTTGCAGCAGCAGCCCGCATCTTAACACAACACCCACGCACACCCCCCGCGCTACGCCGGACATGAGCGTCTGCATACACTCACGCCGGCACATGCCCGCCCGATCGGTGCACGGGTGCTGCTCCTTTGCCCGTTCGGGGGGAGAGCAGTGTTACGGCTCTCCCGAGGGAGTGGTTGACGGCGGGCTTAGCAGCAGCACGGGCGCGGCGGTCGTCGTAGGAGGCTTCTCGCTAGAAGGGCATGACTGTGTTAAGAACTGGTGGGCGTGGTATATAAAAGCACTCGGATTTCGACCTTTCTTTTTTTTCTTCTCTCCTTCATCAACAACGCGAGTGCTCTCCTCGACCGGGACCTTTCTGCAACCTCTCGTCAGCGTTCAATTATATTGCTGGTTCCTCAAAGCCTTCGCCTTATACTCTTTCCCGAGCACCTTCTCGTCTTTACCTTTCTTCAGCCTTTCCGACCCAACCTTTCGGAGTATATCAACATGCCTTACCGTTCTCCCTTCGATTTCAGCGACGTCAACAGCAATGACAGCTTTCATACCGCGGTAAGTTCATTCTTCTTCGAGACGCAACATACCTTTCAACAACTGACATGTGCCATGCAGCTGAGCATCCGGAACCCAAGTGCAGACGAAGTGCGGGTAGCCCGCGCCGCATCCATCGCCTACATGCGCAGGGCGATGGAAACCATGCTATTCCAACTGGATTTTGACCAAGCATCCTGGCTTGCAGGGTACACTGGCAACACCGGACCGACGGCAACAGTTGCCGACATGTACGCTGTGCTTGACGCCCTCATGACGCAAAGAGCCATTGCCCAAGATGCCTGGCTGGCAGAGCGCACTGCCAACACTGGACCGACAGCTGATGACCCCGTGGCAAGTGGGCAGTCCGAACCTCCAAGGCGTAATGAGACGCCTGCCAATCAACAAGCGCCTGCGGCTCAGGCTCCTCCATCACGGACTCCAGTGCCTGAGGCACCCGCTCCTCCTCCTCAGGCCCCGGCTCCACAGGCACCCACATCTCGGGCTCAGGCTCCCACTGCTCAGGCTCCAGTTGCTCGGGCTCAGTCTTCCGCTCCAGCATCTCAGGATCGTCCCTCTGCTGCGGCGAACACATCTGCGGGAGCCTCACGCAACGATCGGCCAGAGACCCAAGTCGCCGCTCCGCCTTCCCAGCCTCCAACCGGCACACAGACCCGTGCACCAACTGGAGCCGCAACTGGGGGTGCAACTTCGCAACGCGGTGGGAGCTCTGCCCCACAAGACAGCACCAGGACTCAGCAACCCGAGGATGTTCCCATCTTCGACAAATCCAGATGGGCGGAACTTCGTAAGCGGAACCCAACTCTTCCGAATTACAGGAGCACGGAGAACCTCGGAAAGCGGGAGGAGCGAGACACAGACCTGTGGATAGGAGCCAGGTTTCCACATGTCGTCAAGGTCTCCTCCAAGGTTATGGTGGAGAAGCTTCCCTACTTCACGATCATTCTGGAGCAGGGATCCAAGGCTAGGCTTAGGGGACACGGCGGCGCGCCACGGTACTCAGTGGTCTTGAGTGTCAACACCAACCGGCAGCCAAGGATCAAGCCTACGAGACAGATTGGAGAGCTTGTGGATGACGAAGGAAAGGCGCACACGCGCAACTTTCGAGAGGCTTTCTGCGATCTCCTCGGTGCCATACATGACTACGATGTCCAAGAGGTCAAACGGTTCGCGAGGTCCATGCTGCGGATGAGCAGCTACTTCAGAAGTGACGAAGCTGTCCGTGAGATACTGGCACGTATGGACCACCGCCAATACGGAAGCCTGAAGGATGCTGCGTCCAGACGTCCAAAAGAGTTCCTCCAGTTGGCGATTCTTTGCCGGTCAAGATTCCTTTTCAGCAGGGCATTCTACCCCTTCGTCCGGGATTCACCTATGGCTTTCACCATGGGACTTGTCGAAGAGTACGTTAAAGACCTGCCGAGTGGCTTGCAGTTCTCCGTCATATTCGAGGTCGGCAAGTTTAAGTCAACCGCAAAATCGATGGAAGCTTGGAGGAAGGCTTGGAAGCAAATTGATACTGATTGGGACCTTGGATTTCTGAAGCACATGTAGAAAGAGCTTTGGGGATACGGAATTGTCGATAATTTTATCCTGGGCTGTCTGAAAGTAGGGAGTTTTGTCCATAAATCAAGTCTTCTGATCCTGAAAACGTACTTGAATTTGCATTTGACTTGTGATTGGTATGATTGGAAATAAAATCGAAGCAGACTGACAACTTGATGCAAGACTCGTAGAAGTGGGTTTCACCTTTGGCAAGAACTCGATATGCGTTGCACTAAAAAACAGCTCGGCACTTACCAGCAGCAATCAGTTTGACAAAGTGACACAGCAAGCCAGAAAATCTCAGACATCGTTTCCTGTACGTTGATTTTGGCGAGTTGGCCTATTTGTAGTAGTACATGGAGTTCCGAGACCCTGAGCCGTTCATGTCTCAGTGCTCAGGCCGATCAAAACTCGGACGACTGCCAAGCCCGCACCGATCGAGTCCGTTCACATCACTGGAAAAGGGGGCAGTTAAGTGGCACTAGTAGGGCACTTTTCCCGACCGTGGTACATAGTAGAGATGAACAAGTAAAGTCGAGGACGACTGGCTGGGTGCACGACTTCGACAAGGATCTCATTGTCACCCCACATCCCAAGGTACCTACATACATACAGTAGCTGAAAAGAGCCGAGGCTGAAACGGATTGCTGACGTGGACGGCCTTTAGACGTAAGAGAGAAAGAGAGAGAGAGAAATGAGAGAGGTCGAGTCGTCGAGCGAGGTTGAGAGATGGTGGCTGGACTCTCTCTTTAGCCGACAGGGAAGGGGCGGCACGGACCAGGTCACAGCATCCGCCAGGTCGAGCAAGCACCGCCGACAGACGTCCAGCCCTCAACACCCGCCCAAAAAGTCGACTCTCTTCCCCCGGCGCGCTACCTCGACCCTCGTCAGGAGCCCTTATCGCATGATCCTCCTCGTCGCGAATTCCTCTCTCTCTCGTTGCCCATCGTTTCTGTGCGCTCCACCCCTGGCGCCTCGACCGGCCACATCGCCCTCCGCGCCCCGACTGCGACCACGCCGCTGCATGCCCGCAATCGCTCACCAATAGGCCCCCGATAGCTGACACCGCCTGGCGCCATGGCCTGGCAGTCTCCAAACGCCATGGGCAATGCCGGCGCCCAGGGCGGAGCGGAGAACCAAGGCCCCGTCGGGACCGAGTATACGTTGCAGGGTAAGCTCGGGAGCTACCATCGCCCGCGTCGTGCCAAACGCTGACGTCCGCTGCGCCAGGTGTAATGCGCTTCCTCCAAATCGAATGGCACAACCACGAGCGAGCCCGGAACGCCTGGGACATTGAACGCGCCGAGATGAAGGCAAAGATCGCGAAGCAGGAGGGTGAGGTGCGCAGCGCCAAGAAGCTCAACGAGCAGTTGGAAAAGCACATCAAGATGCTGGAACACGCATTGAAAAACGAGCGCGCCAAGGCCAAGGGCGGCGCGGCCGCGGACAAAGCAGACCAGGACAAGTCAGACGCCAAAGGCAAGGGCAGCATGAGCCCGGATTCCAAGCGGAAATGTGCGTGTCGCCGTTATTTCTTCTGGCTATGGATGCTAACATGCAATTGCAGCTCTCAACAAACAGCACAACTCTTTCTTGGATGTTGGACCCGAATCGCACGACCCGTCCGAGGCGGAGAGGGAAGCTCAGCGCGACAAATCCCGCGTCTTCCTCACCAAATGCGTCGAGGAGATCTCATACTTGCTCCAGCCTCCGTCCCACCCGCCGCCTGCCCAAGCCCAGATGCAAACTCTTGCGAACCCTGCCTTTATGCAACAAGGTGACGCGCCTCTTCCTATGGAGGAGCTTTACATGCAACAGCAGCGGCAGAAGCAACAGGCCGCCATGGGCATACCGCCTCAGGCTGCGATGCCGAACCACCACCCTCCGCCGATCCCCACGCTGGGCCCCGACATGCAGAACCTTGCGCATCACCAACAGATGCCGCAACAAGCGGCTTTCATGTCTAGAGAACCTTCCAGTTCGCAGATTTTGTCTCAAGCGCCGATTCCTGAAACCTCCCAGCCACAATACCAGGAACCCGAGCCCAGCTTTCCCGCAATGCCCGAAGAAGAGGTCGAAAAAGTCACGCACAGCTACGATACTTATGGCAGGCCGGTAACCGCAAGAGAAGGCGAGGGGGCCGGCGCACGCACTACGGTCATAGATGATCCCAACGGATGGAATTTTGAAGAGACAACGCCGGCACCGGAGCCGCCACCCGAGGTTCCACCTCCTAGACGGCCCGACACGGACGCTTTTCCCAGCGCCAATAGCATCCCCGCAAAATCGCCTCCAAGATCCGGACCGCACTCGCACCGCAGGAAGAGCTCCGGGGCCGGTTCGATGTCGCGGCGGAGGAGCTCAGGCCAAGAACTGGAAGGTGCCGCAGCTGCAGCCGCCAAGGCCGATTTGCAGCAGTTCAAGGTCCGGTTCGCTCTGAGGGGTCATCTCGATGTCGTGCGTTCAGTCATGTTCACCGGAGGCGGCAGCCCGGCGGAGCCCGAAATCTGCACTGCTGGCGATGACGGCATGATCAAAAGGTGGATAATACCAGCAAGCTACGGCGGCCCACACATGGGCAACGATCTCGATATTCAAAGCTACTTCAGCCACAGGGGCCATGAGGGCGTTGTTACCTGCCTTGCCGCATCAAATGCCAACTTCTCCACTGGTGGACGCGCCACGGGTGACGGATGGATCTATTCCGGAGGTCAGGACGCCACGGTGAGAGTGTGGGAGCGCGGACGGGTCGATCCGAAGGCGACCCTGGTCGGCCATACAGACGCGGTTTGGGCAGTGTGCGTTCTTCCGACGACGTGCGGCCAGCTTTTCGGCGCAGAGAGCGCCAAATACGGTGGCCCCGACCGCGTCCTACTCGCCTCTGGCTCGGCCGATGGCACGGTCAAGATCTGGGCGGTCAGCGCGCCCCCGCAACTGGCATCACCCCCGACCGGCTCGAGGCGTGGTGTTGGTGGCAGCCGCAGGCACTCCGTGACTTCGGGCTCGAATTTCCCCTCGTCCCCTCAGCCGAGCGTGGCCACTGCAACGCCCTTCCACTATACCCTCGTGCACAGCATAAAAAATGCCAACGACCACTCACCCACATGCATTGCTCCCCTCTCCAAGACTGGCGAGACGATTGTCGTCTCCTACTCGGATTCCTCGATCCTCATTTTCGACACCAGGACTGGCAACGAAATCATCGGCATGGCCAGCAGCGAGACGTACGACGGCACGCGGAAGACGGGCATCAACACGGTCGTGGCGGCGCCGTCGATCGAAGGCACGTCGAGTGGTGGGCCGGGCGACGAAGAAGGCGGCCTGCACGGCGCGACGGGCACGACAGGCGGCGTCGAGGGCGTCGTGGTCAGCGGACACGAAGATCGGTTCATCCGGTTCTTCGACGCCAATAGCGGCAAGTCACTACCTTTGGCACACGAACTCTCTCATGACACTGCAGCTAACACACATTCCGCAGGCCAATGCACGTACTCGATGCTTGCGCACCCGGCGGCTATCAGCGCGCTGCATCTTTCGCCCGACGGGCGCGAGGCCGTCTCCGCGGGCCATGACGCCTCGATCCGCTTCTGGAGCTTGGAGAAGCGCATCTGCACGCAGGAGATCAGCAGCCATCGCATCATGCGCGGCGAGGGCGTGTGCAGCGTCGTGTGGAGCCAGGACGGAAGGCTCGTTGTGTCTGCGGGCGGCGATGGCGTCGTCAAGGTGTTTGTACGGTCGTAGTAGGTAAATGGATGGATGGATGAGCGGGATGATCATGACGGATGCTTGATGTGGAGGGTAGGGTATGATGGAAGAGAGAAGAAAGGAAGGCATGGATAGGTAGGGCAGAGTGGGACGGGATGGTGGGCTGGCGATCGATGGCTGGCGGGGTGTATGCATGCTGTGCTGTGGCATTAAGGCTTTTCTGTCGGTGCTGGTGCTCGGATCTGCACTAGCGACGGGCGACGGGCGACGGGCGACGGGCGACGGGCGGGCTAGCAGCTACCTACCTATATGTCCATGTCCATTGTCCGGGCACAATGTGGAGGGGAGATGGCAGGCGATGGCTAGGCGAAGAAAGAAGACAGACAGATGGGAAGATCATCTACCAACCTACCTACCTACCTAGGCAAGCGAGCGAGCAAACAAGGGGTGATGTAATGGAAGGAGGATGGAAGGCGCCTCCACATCACTTACATACCTTGGAGTACCTACGCTAATATTTCGCTCGCTCGCTCTCGTTCACGCTTCCTCTCCGTCACTACTACTGCTTTGTCTTGTCTTGCTTTTCCTGTCTTCTACTACCAGTCTTCAACTTTAACACCAACCCATCTGTCTCCCTGCCTGTCTGTCACTCCACCAGACTCTTCAGTCTTCATTCACCACACTATATTATACTATATAATGCTCTTCTTCTTCTTTATTCTTTCTTGTATGACATCTTTTTCAAGGGGGTGTTCTGTTCCTTTCTTGATGCTTGCTGGTTGCGTTGCTTGTTGATGTGGCTGGGGGGCTGCTTGCTTGCTTGCTTGCTTGTCGTGGCATCGCATGGCTTGGTGGCGGCGTGTTCGCTCTCCGCTTTGCTCGTTTGGTGGGTGTGGTTGGGATGCTGGCTGCGTGGAGAGGTGGTAATGGCGTGGTGATGATGGTGGTAGGAGAGAGGTCATTGGTTGGGTATATTGAGCGAAGGTAGAAATTGAGCTGAGGGAGTGAGCGTGTCCATGTGCGTGTTGTTGTCGTCGTCGTTGCTAGAAAGAAGTGGTGATACATACATACATACATACATACATCTCTAAAAGTAAAAAAAGTAATCGCGTGGCCTCGTATTCGTACCTATTTCCCATTCTTCTTTCTTTCTTCTATTACAGCCCACCCAGCCAGAGACCCAGCACGCCCACCGCCGCCGCCGCCGCCGTCGCAACAGCGCTCCCCCTCCCAGCAGCAGCAGCACTCGACGGCCTCGCCGATGCCTCCGCCGCCGCCGTACCGTTCGCGCCCCCCGCCCGGGTCGCGGTCCCGTTCCCCGTCGCATTAGCGGCAGCGAGCGGAGCCGCGTCGCTTACCAGCAGCGCCTGGATCGCATCCAGCGCGACGAGCTGCTCGCCGAGCCCCGTGTCGCCGGGCACATGCAAGCTCTCGCACTCCCACAAACCGCCACCTCGCAGCTGGGAGCAGCGGGCGGCGGCGGCGGCGGCGGTGCGCCGCAGGCGGTCGGAGATGTCGTCGGCGGTCCAGGGCGCCATGAGGGCGGTTTGCGCGAGCCAGCGCAGGGCGAGCGCTTTGTAGGCGCGGGCGTCGGTCGTGCAGTCGGCCGTTGTGTCGCAGGAGGCTTCTTTGAGGATGGAGGTGGCGTTGGAGGGCGAGAAGAACACGTTTGTTAGGGATGTGAGGTGCTTTTCTGTGCGGCTGCGCCAGGGGCTGGTGTTGTTTGTCTGGGGGTGCGGGGTTAGTGATGGTGGGGTAAGTGGTGGTGGTGGTGGACGTACAAAGTTGGACATGACAGCGGCGCCGTACAGGAACGCAGCGGCGCTGTTAGACCACTCGGTCTTCTCGATGCTGTTAGCAGAGCAGTTCTTGGCGACGTCGGCGCCGTCCAAGACGTGGTTCGTCTGGTCAATGAGGCCGATTTGCTGCGTCCAGACGTACGCCTTCTCGGCCCAGTCGGCGTAGGTCTGGTTGCCGGAGAAGCGGGCGAGGCGCGCAGCCAGCTGGAAGAACAGGCCCTGCGCGATGCTGTTCTTGTACGTGTAGCCGTTGTTGAAGGGGTAGATCTGCCAGCGCAGCCCCCCGCCGCACGTCTTGTCGTCCCAGCGCTGGGCCTGCTCGTCGAAGACGTTTGCGGCCACGCGACCCCACGACGGCGCGCCCTCTTTGGTGGGGAAGCCGCGCTCGGCGGCGCTCATGGCCGCGAGAGCCCAGCTCATTTGGTCGTCGTTGCCCTGGATTGGCGCTGCGTTAGACCGGTAACTCTCTCTTTTTCTCGCGACATAACTAGGTCGTTCCCTCTCCTCTCTCTCTCCTCTGGGACATGGGCAGTTTGGCTCCGGCGCTAAATAAAACGGAAAGCGTACGTACAATCGTCCGCGTCTGGTTCACCGGCATGTAGTCGTCGTCGGACCCGAGCTGCCACACCAGCCCTTCCTGCACAAAGGCGTTGTGCGCGTCGTCGCCCGTGAGCTGCCAGTAGTTGACGAGGCCGTCGTAGACGGCGCCGCTCTCCCACCAGTAGTACGGGTCGGGCAGGATTCCGGGGACGCTGCCGGGCTTGCCGGCATCGTTGTAGTACGACTTTATCAGGCTGTCGGCGACGTCCTTGGCGGCCCCTGTAAGCGTGTCTGTGGGGTAGTTAGTATTGTGTTGGGTCATTGGGGAGTGAGTAAGAGCAGGATGTGTAGGGGTCACCTTTGTCGTTGAAGTCGAGCTCGAGGGCGCCTGAGACTGCGAGGGGCAGCGCCGTGGCTGCTGCTGCGGCGGCGGAGAAGCGCATGGTTAGGGGAGTACAGCAGAGGGCAAGACAGTCAGCCCATGCGGCATATATGTAAGGAATGTCTCATCACAGGCAGCTCGTATTATACTAGGTAGCTGGGCAGGCAGCAACTGGGGAATAGACCCTCTTGCGCCCTCGTGGTGGGCCTCCCGATCCTAGGGAGCTTGGCGGACGAGTTAATCTTACTGGGCTGACCCGCCAAGCCGGCTTCACTGCACGCTTCCTACGGACGCCCTGCGAGCCCGCCCAATCATGCCTGTTGTTCTGCATCCTTTGGGGGCCGTAGGACGCAGCACACTCGGCTGACCCGGCACGGACGGCTGCACTGGGCATCAAGGCCCTGTTGGAACGCACGATTGCGTAGGAGGGCCATCTCAAAAACCGGGGAATATCTGCAAACTCCGCGAATTCTGATATTTTTTTTTTTTAGTATAATGGGTAAGCAACAAGAGGAAGTCCTTGCGACGAGGTTAAGGATTTCTGTTGTTGCGCTAGCCGCATGGGGAATTGGTTTGGCCTGAAAGCGATCCCGCCTCGCTCCTTCGGATTAGTCAATCTTGGCCAACTAACAGCTGTATACACAGCTTGTAACCGCTGTCCGGCCAGCGTCCCGGATACACTAGAGGTCTATAGTCTTCTATACCCTCTCCCTCGAGACGGCCACGACTAACTAGGCCAGTTCTAAAAGCAGATAATCGCGGATAGCTTGCGACTGCATGAACAGCTAATTGTTATAGAGCTAGAGACGTATATTTCGCCTTGGGCTCTAAAGCTATACCTACGTGAGCAAGAGGAACTAAAAAATCATCAAGTACATTGTCTTTACACAAATCTAACCATATCTACGCCCACATCCCATCCTTCATAATTCATCTCTATAGTCATCCGTTACTTCTATTCCATCTTCTCCCACGCTATCGGCCACTGCTCTTTACAATCCCTCTCCTTCTTCATCCTCTCAACCTCAGTCCTCATCTCCGCACGAACGCTCTCAGGAACACCGCCAAGATACGCCTCCACATCCTTACTAACCCTTGCCCTCCTCGCCAGCGCCTCAAACGCCTGCTTAAAAACAAAGCGCGAGGCAAACCTCTTCCCAAACGCCAGAAACTTGACCGCATCCACCACGACAGCGCAAGCCAGCGCGCGCGGCTGGCCGAGTTCCGCCCGCTGCAGACATTTGGCTATTGTGGTTGGGCAGCGAAACCGCTCGTCGAGCAGCCGCATGTTGGCGTGCACGTGCGCCACGTCCCGCATGTCCTCGTCGTGGACGCTGCGCACCAGCTCGAGAAACGCCCGCCCCAGCGCTTGCGTCTGTGCCGTGTCCTCTGCCGCAGCAACCTCGGCTGCACGCCTCTGCCATGCGGTCGCTGGCTCGACGACCAGCCGCCCACTCGAGACCACAACGGTCAGCAGGAGCGCGAACCGCGGCGCTGGCTCGTCGGCGATCTTGAAGCGCCCGTCGCGCCGCAGTGGGTACGCGAAGTAACGCACGCTGTCTGCGAGGACTTGTGCGCTGAGTTGCACGACAGTGGTCGCCTGGGCGCCGATCCAGATGTCTGTGTCGCGGGTGTCTGAGGGACCAAATGCCTCGACGCGACTGTAGGATGGGAGAGAAGGGTCGGCGTTGCGGAGGCTTTCCCAGTTGGAGGCGTCGAAGACGGGGAAGGCCTTACTCTGTGTTGGTGGGCCTTCGTTCCTCTTCGTCTGGATGCTGGTGGAAGGTCGTCTGAGGTTGTCGTCGTCCTTGGAAGCTTCTACGGCTTGGGTTGATTTGGCTTCCGTCATTATTTTGGAGGGCTGCTCCGTCGCCCAATCAACCCGGACTGAGCGAGAGGGATGGCGTTCTCGCGAGCAGTCGCCATTGACCGAGCTTCTAGCACAACCAGACGCGCCGCATCCTCTCTTCCGGGGCAGCGGGGGAAGCGGATGCGGAGGGAGCGAGCCCGTTGCATGCTGTGGCAGTGACGACGCTGGATCCGGCAACGGCGGTAGCGGATGTGACAACTGCTGGGCACTCTTTGCCGGCTCAGCCAAACGCCTCCGCGAATCCCGCCTAACAGCAGCAGAAGCAACCGCCCCGTCTCTTCGCCCGCAACCCTGCACCTCATCCAGCGCCGCAGCAGACACAGCCACAGGCACACCCCCTCGCCCCTCCCAGCAACCAACCCACCACCTCACCTCCCTCACCACAGCCGCCATCTCCGCTTCCGCGATATCGACGCTTGCAGCCCCATCCGCCGCCGCCTCCGCCAGCGCGGCCGCTCTCATGCTCTTCGGCACGCGCGCCACGACGTACGTGCCCTCGAGCGCGTGTTCGAGCCATACCGAGCCTCTTGCCCGCGCGCACTGCGCTCTTAGTTTCCGCTCCGCCCCGTGCTGCACCCGCGCGACGAGGTACAGGCGGCCGGCGTCGCGGCGCTCGACGCTGATGACGCCACCGCGGGGGGCCTGAATGAGGGCGTCGAGGGGGTGTGGGGGGCTGGTGCGCGGGATGCCGACGGTCTTGAGGAGGGGGGTGGTGGGGTGGGCCATTTCGAGGGCGACATGGGGTCGATTTGATGGAGATGATGATGGGGTAGTACAGATATAATGAACGGCAAAGTAGCTGTCATGTGTTGCTGTATGATGGGTGGGGCGTGGCTTGGGCATCAGCTGGACGTTGGTATATAGTCTAGCTATTTATATGTTTTTGGGGTGGGGCGGACTAGAGTTTCACGCTATCTACTTGTTCGCATGGCTGTGTTGTTGGTGCTGGCCTAGTAACCGGTTGGCATTCCTGATGGCTTTCCCCAGATCCTGTTTACGACGCACTCGAAAACTTGAATGTGAGAGCCCAAGGCTATGTTAGGCCACCATGCCCCTTAAATCTCTTGGTCCGGGTAAGACTTGAGTGATTTGGACATGTCCGCTTAATTCTACCCGGAGGCTATGTGTTCGTACACTGATGAAGTCTTTCAACTGTATAGCACGTACAATGTGTATACATCGGAGGATGGTCAAGTAATTAATGATAGATTCAGACTTGTCGTCAAGGGCACTTGTTATATCTAGTGTCGGTTCGTCACTAGCAATCCCGAAGCGTTTAGTTAATTAAACTCGTTATTTCTTCGACAGTATTAAGTGTAGAAGTGTTCCGCAAAATCTAGATCACAATACTAGTAAAATTCCGTTTTATTTCAGGAAGTTGCGAACCAGCTTAGAAACTATAACCAGTCTCTATTACATACAACAAATTTTGGTAAAAGTACTATAAAGCTCCTTTTTCTTCTGCTTTAAACTAATTTAAATCTAAAGCATAAATAATTAGGTTTAGACCGCACTGTTATATGTTCGGCATGCTTTTCTGTTCGTGCACCTCTCGTATATATTATATCTACTCAAACTCCATGACCAGCAATGGTGAGACTAAGAGAATATAGGATGGCAAAGGGAGAGGGGTTGACACGAGGTTGAAAGGAAATCTTTATGGGCGGTAACAAAAGCTATAATTAGCAAAGTGAGTGGTCCAATATCTATATTTACCGATGCTCTAAGGCACGGATGCGTTAAAACGTCCAAACTGCACTGCATACGAATAACATTTGTGTGTAACCTGAATATGCGGATTTTCTCCCGCCATCTGCAGCACAACCTCAGGAACCAATTGCCTTCCTTCTCTTCCAAGGACACGCCACATCAACGCTACCAACCCGGGTTTTGTAGTACGGTACACTGCATGGAACCAACCTGAACGGGACTACGCCTGATTTTTGGAAATTATATAGGAGGCAACGCGCCCAGAACAAACGGCGTGTAGATACTTGTTTAGAAATCCTAAGATACACCATCGTCAAGATGCCGGCTTACGATGTGGGATTAAACCGGATATGTGCGGAGATGGCGCTTCCGCTCACCACCACCTTCACTGCACCAGCAGACTGCTCACTCAAGTTCACTCCCGTCACGACAGCGACACGAGCAGACAGCGCCTACCAAACGCTCATCCAAGACCTAAACGACGTGTCATGCCATCCTCCGGGCTACTCGCCCCAATGCACAGGCTACAGCTATCCCACCTTCAGCCCCGGGACCTGTCCGTATGGCTACTACACCGCATACAACATACCGCAAAGCGGTGCAAAAACGCTAGCCGTCTGTTGCAAAACGTATGTAAGGCATTTCCCTTATAGCCGAGTACAAGCGTGAGAGCTGATACGAGGGTTTGTTTATGCATGAAGCGGGTTTGAGACGGGGGTCATGTCTAGCGTCTGCACCAAGATCCTGTATTCGGAAACAGTGACGCTCATATACAACTACACCTCGACATACAAAACCACTTCTACGGTTGCGACCGAGACTACAACCTACACTACAACTAGCCACACGTCGACTGTTTTCCCCACGACAATTAAGACGTTCATCTCCCACGCCAAGCAAGTCATGCCGGCGATCTGGGTCGCAGCTAGAGATGGAGAAATACCTTCAACGAGCTTCTCTGGCTCAACTACTACGAGTGCATTGCGCGGCACGAAGAAACCGCACTCGGAAACGAGCAGCCTCTCCTCAGCAGCAAAAGCGGGCATCGGAACAGGCGCAGCCATCGCCATCATGCTGTTCATATGCGCGCTGTTGGTGTTTTGGAGGCACAAGAGAAGGAGCAGACCACAGACTCGCACAGAGGCACCAAGTGATGACTGGGCAAAGCCAGAGCTGGATGGCAGAAACGCCGCGCCGGCCGAAGCGGGCGGAAACACTGGTGGTTATAAAGAAAACCCCGCAGAGTTGGAGGACAAAAGGTGTCCAGCGGAGCTGCAGGGGACAATTCTAGAGCCGAGTCATATGGACGCGGGTGTGGGTACGCGTATGCGTGGTAGTTCCAGAGAAAGACAAGAGAGAGATATGGTAGTGTTGGAGTGACGTTCGAATCAGTGAATACGGTTTCGTCCAACTTACTTGCTGTGTAGGTAGATGATGCGTAAATACCCCTGTAACAGAAAAGACTGTTGTTCAGAGACATTGCGTTGGTAGCATTGCAAAAGCCAGAGGGTAGAGCCCGGAGTCTCCAATCTTTTCCAAACCTTTCCGTTCCCGTTCAGTCAGGCAACGTGCAGGATCCCTACATTTCCATCCACAGCCACCGCCGTCTCAACAATCACCACACGCCGCCTTCCAGCAGCCTCCTCATTCTCATCCTCATCCTCTCCGGAGTACTCTAGGAGGACTAGCTCGCTGCCTCAAGCACACAGCACAAGCGCGGGGCCGTCCACTTAAGCAGGACCGCCCGCGCAGCCGGGACACGTAAACGCCATCAATTAACGGGCCATAACACACAACCAAGCGAAGAGCATATAATACGAGTCGAGTACACATTCCCCGGCAGGCCGAGAAGCCGCACCCATCGATCCAATAACTATGAGAAAGCGACGGCAGGAACGGCAATACACCCAGCCACCGAACCATGGCCGAAAAGCACTTGCATACACGATCTAGGTAGTGAAGCATCAGCGGCACACCCACAGCGCCCCCCACTCCAGCACTGCAACCCGTGCAGATGCGTAGGTAGTGCGCAACCCCACCGCCCCACACCCAAGTGCTCGTCCCTCACAACCCCGCCATGCCAGCCCTCAGCAGTCAGCGCCGCTCACGCAGCCCACACACCGTCCAGTCTAGCCGCCTAAAGCGACAGACTCGCCCCGTGGAAGACCTCTGCAGCTCTTGGGATGAGGCGGACGAATGAGTCCAAGTCTACGTAGGCAGCAAAGCGTCGTCGATAATGGTAGCGCGTTAAAGGCTACCCCCGCGTCGACCGTGGTTATAGTGGGAGACACGGATTGCTGGCTCGATTTCTTTTGCGGTGCTGTTAGCCGTTGTCGTAATTATAGTGAGTACGAGGATTAGGGTTTAGATATAGAGCTAGTTAGCAGGCAGGCGTACACAGCTACTAGCTAGGGGGGTATGTATGTAGCTAGGCGCTGGTGCGGGGTTGTGCGGTACATACATACGGCATGGAGGAGATGCACTAGGTAGAGAGCCAAAACAGCATCAACCAACAAGACTTCGTCGCTTCCGACACGACGACGACACGGCAGCATTACATCGCCATCGCGCAACCCCCCACGCCACGACCCCGGTCCGGAACGTCCTACCTAGGCAGGTGCGCACTCCACGCAACAACCCTCCACCAAACCACCACAGACCAAGATCATGCTTGCTGCTCTGCGACGAACGACGAGCCTAGGCCACAACCCCGCTGTATCCAGCACCCACCCACCAAGCAAAGTAAACTATACTAAACCTACCCTACCCCACCCCCTTTCGCCCAGACTTCCCGCCCGTGTATATATATAGACATACTATCTAATGAGTAATGGGCTATTAGGTAGTGGTGTAGCATAGCGAGTAGTGTTTATAGTTTTGTTTATACTGAGAGTTGAGAGTGCGGGGGTACGTAGTCTAGGAGGGAGGGAGTGTGTGTGTACATGTGAGAGAGAGAGAGTGAGAGAGATGTAGTAATCCCAATGCATTATTATGCGTTCTGTCAGTATCTATGCTCACTTCCACCCATCATCCGTCTCCATACCATACATACACCACCACCAACACACACAAGTACGCACATGCACATCCGCCACCACCACCACCACCCATATCCACTCCCATCTACACAGCACAACCCTTCCTAACCACCTCGTCTTACCCCAACCCTCTACCATACCGCAAGCCAAGCCAAACCAAGCCAAGGCAGTCGCCAAGTATAGGTACGTAGATAGGTATGTACGTAGTGCGTAGAAGCGTATACAGGAACCGTAGGAACCGTAGATACCGTAGGTGGAAAGAGACAGACAAGCGGCCTCACATGCGAAAACACTTATATAGCAATCAGTGCGTGTGTGTGGGGGAGAGAGGCCTAGAGGTACGTCAGTGTGTGTTTTCTAGATTGTGGAAAGGGTGGGGGCGCCAGTGCCGAGGACCTTGCTGGCTTGCTGGCAAGGGCGGAAGGGCTATGCGTTTGTGGTTAGTGCCCGTATTGTTGGTTAGCTGGTTGGCTGGTTGGTCCTTGTACGGCTACCTAGTCCTAGTCTTGGCCCTGTTGAGAGGACGGAAGAGAGGCGGGACGGGCGTGTGTGTGCTGGCGCTAGTATTGATGTTGGTGTTGGTGTTGGTATCGATGGAGCTGGTGCGCATTAGTTAGGGTGGGCGTGGGCATGTACTGGCCTGGGATGGCCTGGGATGGCCTGGGATGGCCTGGGATGGCCTGGGATGGCTTGGGAAGGCTGCTGCTGCGGACGTCTTGCTGGGTCTTGTCCTAATGTCGTGTTATGACCTGTCATGTCCTGTCCTGGCTGGACCGGTCCGCTGTCCTCGTGTGTGTGTGTGTGTGTGTGTGTGTGTTGTGTGTGTTGTGCTCCATCCATAGCGAGTGAAGGAAGGAACGAAGGGCCTTGGGGGCTGCTGCTGTGGTGGATGGCCTGGTGGTGGTGGTTGTGGTGACAATGGTGACAGTGGTGGCAGTAGTGGTGGCTCCGCATGCGGGAACAAGAGGGGGTGTAGAGTAGAATGGTGGGTTGAGCATTGAGCATTGAGGAGCTAGAGTGGCGGGGAGAAAGAGGAAGAAGAAGCGGGTTTGTCCGCGTTGGGGTGCGAGAGCTGAGTGAGTGAGTGAGTGGGTGGTGTGGCGTGGCTGCGTTGCTGATCCGGGGGGTCTGGAGAGCGATAATTGGCCGGCTGTGTGCGAGTAGAGTGGCCTGCTATTGCTGGGGGTGAGAGTCCGAGACCTAGGCGGTGGAAGCGGTGGATGGATTTTTGCGTTGTGCTGTGTTGTGTTGCCAGAGGTAGTGTTGGGTTTGTTGTTGTGGTGGGAGGAAGAAATTGAAGAGGAGAATTGGCGGGGTGGTTATAGCAGAGTAAGAATAGTGGAGGTCGCGGCGGGAACAAAGACAGTGGAGTAGTAATTGAGGTGGTGGCAGTAGAAATAAAGTAGGAAAGAATCCATGGTTGTTTTGGTGGTGTGGTTGACGCGATCGGCAAGGCACGGAGAGCGGGGTGGTGTGATGAGGGGTAGCAATGCAATGCTGCAAGGAGGCCGGAGAAGGAATATGAAAGAACAATTCAATGGCAAGTAGGTATGGAGCAGTAGTAGGGACGAAATGGAATGTTCAATGGCAGGTAGGTATCATAGTAGACTAGGTAGAGTACGCAGTACGCGTATAGACGAGGGCAGCAGCAGCTCAGCTCAACGCAGCTCCCTCCCCCAAGCAGCAGAAGCGGCATTGATAAATGCAGGAGCGGTGAGGGGTTCTCCAGCAGGGTGCATGGGAAACGGGAATCGAGACAGGGAAGCTTTCGCAGCGAGAAGGAGGGGCGGGACTGGCAGCGATTGGGGGCAGGCAGCCGGTGACGCATGGCCGGGAGGCATGGCGTGGCCATGACAACACGGCGATCGAATCAGCGGCCGGCTCCGTGCCGCGCTGCCCATCTCACTTTTGCAAGGGCTTGCGACGGTGCCTGGCCCGATCGAGGGCACGTGGGCAGGTGATGGAGGAGGCTGCACAAGTCACGAAAGGTCACAGGCTCACGCGGGATTTAGTTATGGGTGGGAGGGCCAATGGCAGCGAGACGGGGTCAATGCCGCGCAGTAGAGTACGAGGAGCAGAGAGAGCGAGAACGAAGAAGATGTTGACGTGGAAATGGAAATCACCCGACGGCGGGGTGATGTCTGGCGTTCGACTGGCGCCCCACCCCCACAAAAAGGGCCCCAAACAGTCCCCCCGGACTACTCCCGCAGCAGCTGCGCCCGCACCCGCACGGCCCGAATTAACAAGACGACATGGAAGTCTCTCGTCGCTCTCACGCCACGCCGTCTCCCCGCACCACAACCACGGAACGCTGGCGTCACGCGACTCCCCGCTTGCGGCCGCGGCACCTCCCCGCATCCAAGGGTAACCTGACTTTGGCATGAGTCCAATCACCGCAAAATGGCGCAGACGATCCTCCGCTCCAGCTGAGACGTCGGTCCTATCCGCTCTATTTAACTGCACCCGCAGTTCGCCTCCTACTAGTTCTTCTTTTTTTTTTTCCCTTCATCACTTCCAGTGATTAAACATCCAGTGACAACACAACCATTCAAACTCCCTTTTTCCCAATCTTCAATACCGGCAAGATGAGTGCATTCACGAACACGGCGCCCCACTGCGCCATCCTCCCCAAGCCCTTCCCCACGGGCACCTACACCGTCGGCCAACTGATGACGGACCCGCGCGCCCCGCGCACCTTCCTGTCGACCAAGACGCTGCGCGACAAGGACTACGACGACACGCGCATGACGGCGTGGTACAAAGACGTGGCCGCGCTGTCGAGCCAAGGCAACTTCCTCAAGTCTCTGGGCGGGGAGCTGCTGGTGCCGCGCCCCCGCCGCAACAGCACGCGGCTGGTGAGCATCGAGGCGGAGAAATTCGCCGTGCGCGCCCTCAAGCAGCCCATCGCCGCCTTCACCCAAGTCACGCACGCCCCCGCCGCCGGCACCTTCCTGCTGCAAGCCGCGCAGGCCAAGAAGCCCGTCTACTTCGTCGCCGCCACCCAGGAGCTCACCAACGCGTCGTACAGCCACGCGCGCGCCCGCGACGCCGGCAACGGCCTTGTCGAGGTGGCGCGCGAGCGGCGCGGCAGCATGGCCGACGCGCCGCCGACCATCGACGAAGAAGCCGTCGCCGAGTCGCCGACGGACACGGCGGCCCCTGCCATTGGCGAGCCTAGGCCTCGCTGGCAGCGCCGCCGCGACTCCGGCTTCGAGGAGCCCACGCACACCAAGTCGGACGTGCTGGGCGTGGAGCTGCGCGAGGTGCGGGTGCGGATCCAGCCGCGCGAGGCGGCCATGCCCACGAGCGGGACGCACAAGCGGCGCGGCTCGGTGCGCGACCCGGAGTTTGAGTGGACCGAGGTGCGGGTGCCTGCGGACGAGGAGGGCGAGGAAACCGTCTTGCGCGTTGGGCTGGGCCCCGCGCTCGACCAGGAGGAACTCTCTGATTTGTGGGACGATGAGGCTGAGCCTGAAGACGAAGACGACTAGAATGGGGCGTTTGGGGGTTCCGGCGTTTTTCTGGTGTGTCAGATCGCCGGACGACTGATTGATTGACTGATTGACTGGGACGGGACGGGACGATGCGACGAGATATATGCCGGCGTTTTTTGTTTGTTTTTTGCTGTTTGTTTGTTTTCTTGTCTTTTCTGTTTGTCTCTGCTTTTCCTTGCGAGATGAGGCTCGACGACGACGCTTGTGTACCACCACCACCACCATCGCCACCACGCACTGCTACTACTTACTGACTTTACTACCATAAACCATAAACCTAAACTAACTACCGCTACTACTACTATATCAATACAAGACAAATAGGTCAAACACGGACCAATTGCCTCTCAATCGTTTTTGATTGTTCATGTCCACGCAAGGTATTTGAACAGAAGACGCAATCCTTCTGACGGAAAACCAAGCAACCATCAACGCAGCCTCCAGCATGCTCGGTGGTGCTGACGGCTACTATCCAAGTAAGTCGTACAATATGCCGTTGAGCTCGGTACTGGACGACAGGTGCAGCGCTGTTATTTTAGTATGAGATACGAGATAGCTCCGGCTTGCTTAATCCTGTCCTGACTGGTGCTGATTCTGGACGGGCTGGGCTAGTTTTAGTGTCCATGGAAGTACCTAGCCTAAACTGCCGATTAGGACGTCGAGGAAATGGACTCGCGGTTGGCGGGGCCTGTCGGTGGGCGGTGGCTTTGGCTTTGCTGTCGGATCGGGTTGGTTCTTGGCTGCTGCTGCTGCTGCTGATGCTGTCGAACAAACAATTGCACTAGAGACCTGGATGTCCGTTCAGTTGGACAGGTCGCATCAGTAAGGCAACTAGAACCGGCCTTCGCGAGCACATCGCATGGCATGGCATGCCCATCTCTCTGATCCCAGCGCGCACCAATCGCATAAGCCCCCCAGCACCACCACCGCCCTAAGCAATCTCCCTTCCGCGACACGACACGACACGATACTAGGTACACAATACCCAACACTACTCCACACACACACACACACACACACACACACGCCCTGCACCATAACGCAGCAACAAAGCGGAGCGAGCCTAGCCAAGATGACAGGGTAGGTACCTACCTAACAACCAGGCAGGCCTGCACGCCCCGCCACACGCCCCACTATGCCACGCCAGTACGCCAGGCACACAGACAGGCAGCAGGCCAGCCTGACTCTCACGACGTCCGACGTTGTCGGCGAGCTGCGCGTCGTGCATGCGGGTATGCAGATGCCGCTGCAGGCCGGCCGGCGTTAGCTGTGGGTGCAATCTCCGGGGGTCTGCGCCGCAAATGCGGCTGCGCTGCGGACAAGCTGCGCAGGATCGTGTGGGTGGTGAGGTACGGTACGAAATTGTGTTTGGGGTTTATGGGCTGAGATGGCGGGGATGGTGATTGGGTGTTGGTGCTGAGGGTTGAGTGAGGGTTGGGTGATGTGAATGGACGGTGATGGGGGTGATTGATGGGCGGGTAGCGGAGCGATCTCCCGTGCGTTGTGGGGCTGGTTGCTGGGGTGAGTGGTGGGTGGCTTGATGCTGGTGTAAACGGATGATATTTCTATAAGAGCTCTTTCTCTTTCGTGGACACCCGAGTCGCGCTACCCATGCAGACACCACCCCACGCCGCCTAATCCCTCACATCCTCGCCCGCCGCTCTCCTTATCACCCTAGCCACAAACCCCGGCTGCGACACAAACGGACTATGGCCAGCATCGCAGCGCTCAACAGCGAAGACGCCCTCGCCCGCACTCGCAATCAAGCGCTCCTGCACCGCCAGCGGCAGCGCCCGGTCATTCTCGCACACGATATACGTGCTAGGCAAGAACTTCCAAGCCGGAAAGGTGACGCGCTCGAAGAAGGTGCGGAACGAGTGCGGGCGCAGCAGCGAGACTAGCCGCGCCGCCTCGTCCGCAGGAACATCGTTATAGAATGTGGATGCTGGGTTCTTGAAGCGCAGTTGGTCGTCCTACATACAGCACGCGTAGCTCGTCAGCAAAAACGCGTTCCGTAGGTACCTAGCTACTACGACACTGCACTGCACTGCGCAAGCGCACGCAAGCCACACGCACCTGCACATCCCAGTTCGGATCGCGGACCACGCCGCTCCGCGCGTCCACCAGGGACGACCCTTCCTCCCCGATCAGCGCGGCGCAAAACACGATGCGCAGGACGCCGCCGGGCAAGGCGGCGTGCTGGCGCGAGGCGCAGTCCAGATTTCTGACGGCCTCGCAGGCGACGAGCCCGCCGTAGGAGTGCGCGAAGAGGACGATAGCGCGGCCGGCGTCGGCGAGCGCGGCGACGGTGTCGCGGATGCGCGCGACGTCGGGGGCCCAGTTTTGGAGCGGCGGCGAGGCGCCCACTGAGGGCAGCGGCACGCCGACTGTGTCGTAGCCGGCGGCGTGGAGGAGGGCGGTTGTTGGGGCGAAGGCGGCGGGGGAGTGCGCGGCGCCGGGGACGAGGACGATGGTCGGTTTGGGGGACATTGGTGGTGGTGTTGGGGGAGAGACGAAGTGGAATGAGAGGAGAAAGCTGAAGCTGAAGCCGAAGATGCTGATGGTGAGGACTTGCTCTTGATGGTGCTGCTCGGGCAGTTATATACGCCGTGCTCTCACTCTTGCTACACTGTGGCGCTCTCCTTTTATGACATACGAGCAAGACCAGGTACGGCATACCGCAACACGCATTTCTTATGACATCGAAAGGCACAATAGCGCCATCGAGCGACTAAGTCCTGGATTGGACTCCTCGGGCACAGCAGTTCCATCACTGATATATCAGCAAGGTGACCGCCCCGCCCGCGGTCAAAAGCACGTGGAGAGGCGCACAAGAGGTGTGGAAACCATTCCGCGTGCTTGTATAAGGCGCGGCGATCTGGCTACTGGAGCCTTAGCAATCTCTGTCCGAAGGAAGGGCGGCATGGCCCGTCTGCTCCACTCATCTCAGCCTGGATCGCGCACGCCATTTCGAAAGCCTTGCTGTTGGCTGAGCTGTGGTGAGATTTGATAGATTGCGGCGCCGGAGTGGAGAGGGCGTGGGTGGTAGGAGTGTCGTTGGTGGCCTGGTCTGTGCGGGGCTTAGAAATCTCGAATCGAATGGAGGTCGAAACCTTGGACGTTCGTCGCTCGACGTGCGCACCATAGGATGGCGGGAAAATGGCTCGGGGAGGTGATTTGGTGGCTGGGTGATCGGTGCAGGCGATGGGGGAACCCCCCGGAGTGCGTTACAAGCTGCTTGGGGCGCTGGCTCGGCTGTGTGGGAGCGTGGTGGTGCATGGCAGGGTTCTTGGCGGGTTTGCTCGCTGCGCTGGTGATGAGGGCGCGCTGTGTTGAGGGCTGTGGCCGCTGGGATGGCGAGGCGGGTCAAGAGATTGGGATGCAGGCAAGCTACTGGCGCCGTCTCAGTGTTGTTCTGCTGATATTGGGTTGTCGACAGGTATTTTCTCGTTTGAAGACGGCTCGCTTGCTAATGATACGGCGCCCTTTATGCCGGGGTTGCGTTTGAAGGCTGCGCTTTGCTAATGCGGATTTCCCTCCCACTCAGGATTTCAATGGCCAGCAAGCCTTGAACACGGCTCCATCCGTATCACTGTTCTACCGAGCAGCTCATGGTGGTTCATTGAATGTCGCAGCTGAACTGGTTGGCCATGAGTGACATCCCTCTCTCCCACGCTCAGAGGACAGAGAGAGTGAGGCCAAGCTGTAATGGTGTGGTACGTGGTAAAACACAAAAGAGGACAATACAAAAAAATCAAAAGACCAAAATAGGAATCGACGCGCCTCCTCAGCCGGGCTCCCTACTCCAAACTCTCACTCACTTATCTTCCATGTTTTGGGGTTGGGGTCCCCGTTATACATAGCTCATATTGAGATGCTCCAGGCTTGCACGAGAAGGGCGATGCCGTGCCTCCAACCATCCAGCACGCACTCTCAGCAGCCATTGGCTAGAGCCAACCCAAAAAAGACATTGAGCCCTACGTCGCAAGTGTGCAGAAACAGCAGCAGCGGAAGACGCTTTGGGGAGCCGAGCGTGAGGAATTGCAAGGCCGCGGCCGTGTTTGCTCTGGCATGCATGCACGATGCAGGTATCCGGCGCCCTTGCCTCGCCGCCACGGCAACATCGCACTGGACGTTACCCTACGCCGTTCCATCTGACACGTTCACGTCATAGGTAGTTAGCCCGTCGACGCAATGGAAGCCTTGCGTGCGTATTTGTATTTGTATTTGTATTTGCTCTGCACGGCACAGGAGGTCTAGCCGGCGCGCGGCTCGTGGGCAGCCTTGCCGCTTTACGACTGGCTGACTGACTGCCTGCGCGGAGAGCAGCATTCCCAGCGCTCGAGCCGGTTTGGCTTTGCTACCTAGCTAGCTGTTTGTTATACCACGAGCAGGCCAAACCCATGGAACCAACCCGGACCTGTTTCTCTCTCTCTCTCTCTCTCTCTCTCTCTCTCTCTCTCTCTCTCTCTCTTGCTTTCCCTCGCTCGCTCGCTCTCTCGGGGAGAACGGGAAACACGCGCCACGGTTACCCAAGGGCTCGCTCGCATTACGACTGAAATAAACGGACCCCGCACCGCGCCGTCCGTCGTGGAAGGCAAGGCAAGGAAGGAGATACCTAGGCAGGCAGGCACGACGTCGTCTGATGTGGCCGTTCCGTCTCCTTGCACGCACGCACTCACTCAGTCACTCACGAACTTGCTCTGCATCGCCATACATACCTACTGTACATCCGTACGCGCACTCGCATACGTAGTCAAGCAACCTCACACCTCCTCTGAATCCTGCCTTCTCTCTCTTTCCTTCTCTCCCTACCTACCTCACCTCGACAGCCTCTCCTCCCTCATGACGCCAAGTGGGTTTGAAACACAGCCTTAGACATACACAAACGCACACACACGCACACACACACAAAGCCAGCTCCGCGCGGCCCCCACGACGCGCCGCACAGCGTCGACCCCTCGTGCCACCTCCCAACTCAGTTCAGAGCACAGCCAGCACCGCACCGCACCGCGCCGCACCGCCGAGTACAAGAGCACCACTCCTTGCACGGACAGCGGCGCTCCCAGCCCGTCCAAAAGCGAGGACCTTCGCCCTCCTCCCCACCACGCCGCACCAATACACACCCCCGATGCGCCAGCGCGGCATCCCCCTTACGACGGCAGTGGCGGCGACGATGGCCGCGGGCGCGGCGCTTGCGCGCGCGCAGACATGCTACTTCCCGGACGGCAGCGTGAACGCGGAGTCTGCGCCTTGCGGCGACGGCGACGAAAAAGGAGGAGGAGCGGCCTGCTGCCCGCTGGACTGGAAGTGCCTCTCGAACGGGCTGTGTCGGTTTGCGGCCGAGGACTGGCTGGACCGGTATAGTTGCAGTGATCGGACGTGGGGGGCTGAGGCGTGTGCGCGGGGGGTGTGTACTCATCGTATGTGTTGAGTTTCTTTGTTCTTCTATTGTGGTGGTGCGTTGGTTGAGAGGGAAGGACGAGTGAGTTGACGAACTGCGTGCGGTAGATACGCGCTCGAACGGCACAGACAGCGGCGGCGAGGCCATCGGCGTCTGCCCCGGCGGCAAGTTCTGCTGCAACGGCGACCGCAGCGGCGACTGCTGCAAGGACCGCAGCGCGGTGTATTTCTCGCTGGCGGACGCGCGGGTCGTGGGGAGCATAACGGCGCTGCTGACGCCCAGCTTTCCGCTTCTGTCACCAACGATGGGCCCCGAGTCCGCGAACACGGACGAGAGCGAAGCCTCCACCCTCTCCTCTTCTTCTTCTCCCTCTTCTTCTTCCGCCTCCTCCTCCTCCTCCTCTACCTCCCCGCCACCAACAAGATCATTCCTCCACACCGCCGCCGACGGCACCATCGCCTTCGCCCCCACCACCGCAACCAAAACGTCCCTCACATCCGACGCGGCCGGCCGCGTCTCCACAGTGTACATCCTCACGACCAGCACGCCACAAGGCGCCAACAACAACTCCTCCTCCAGCAGCAGCCCCACACGCACGACAACGCTCGGCCTCGCAGTCGGGATCCCGCTGACGTTGCTCGCTGTCTCCGGCACCGCGGTGCTGGTCTTCCTGCTCCTGCGCCGGCATCGCCGCAGACGCGGACGCAACGCTGTGCAGGATGTGGCGCATGCGGACAAGGAAGAGAAATGCGTTTCGGAACTTGATGGGTTTCCGAAGGCTGATACGCGGGGCGGGACGCATGTCGCGCCGGCATGGGTGGGTGGCAACGGCAAGGGCGGGAGAGAAAAGGGCGGAGGACTTGGCGTAGGTGCCGCACACGCGCGCACAGTTTCCGAGATCGAGGGCCGCGAGGTCGCCATGGCGCCTGTGGAGCTGGATGCGACGATGACGACGACGACGACGACGACGGCTACGACGGCTACGACGGGGACGGGGACGGGCACAGCGACATCGTCATCTGCGGGCACGGCTGCGCTGGCGCCGGAGACGAGGGCGGGGGCGGGGATTGAGACGGGGATTGCGGCAGCGAGGCCAAGCACGCCTCGCACGACATCGTCGTCGCCGCCGCCACAGGAGCTAGGGAATAACACGGCGGTGCCACGGACGCCGCGGACGCCGCCGGGGCAGAGCGCTGCTGGCGGCGGCGGTGGCGCTGGCGGTGGTTTTGGTAGCGACGAGGCGATGCTGGTGAGTCCGCTTGCAGAGGGGGAGGGCGTGGGGCACGGGTGGCGGAGCGTGGGCGGGCGGGGAGGGCGCGCGGGTGTTGGTGTTGGTGCTGGTGGTGCTGGGGGGTACGAGGGGCTTGTGAGCCCGTTGGTGGAGGCGGGGGGGTGGGCCGGAGGAGAAGGTAGTCGTGGTGCTGCTGGGACAGGAGCCAGGGCAGCACAGGCGCGGTATATAGCGTATCGGCCGCCGGGGGGTGCGGAGCTGCCATAGGTAGGTAGGTAGGTAGGTAGGTAGGAGGGTGGTGTGTGGTGTGGTTCAGGCGGCAAGGCGGCAAAGCGGCTGCTAATAGCCTAGGTACTGACTGGCTGGTTAGTTGTGTTGGGTTGTCCCTGATAGATGTACCTGTATGCGCATTGTGGTTTTCTTGCGAGCGGCTGGCGGCGTGCCCGGTTGTTGCTTTTGAGTTTTGCGTTTTACTGCGGTGTGGCTGGGTTGGGGTCTTGGGGATGAAGATGGTTTAGGGGAGTGGTTGGTTGCTTACGCTCAACTAGGTGCCTGTGTAACTGCTGTAGGTGTTCTGATAGGTAGGTATGAGTAGATACTAAGCTGCTGGTTATGATCTTTTTTGAGAGAGCCGCTTGGGCGAAGAGACGCCGAAGTCCTCGCGCAACAACAGTAGTGTTGACGAAGTCCGAGTCTATCGCGTTCGAAAGGGCACCGCTGACTTTAAGCCCCTTAGATCAGATGAGTTGTGGTTTAGCGCGTACGCTCGCCCAGCACTCTCTCTCGCGGCTCTCTTTACCCAGGCTCATTGAAGCAAACATATTGAATAGCAGTAGAGAGCGTTGGTCTTTTTGAATGTGCTTCATAGACGTAAGGAGTGCCGTAGTAACTCTAAAAGCTAAGGTGCAGATATGCGAAGTATGCAATCAAGGTGTTTCAAGTAGGGTTAGGGGGCGTTCCTCACGGTAGCTCAAGAAAAGAGTACACTTAGCCATAAAGGGCAACGCGACGCCAACACTGACAAGTTACCTACTATTAGTAGCACCTAGTGAGCACGCAAACGGCCCGGCCCGGCCCGGCCCCGCACGCCCATGTAAGGCGTGAGAAGAGGGGAGTCGATGTCTCAAACAAAGCGGGGTCGTGAGAGTTCGATGACAGTGGCGTGGTTTATAAGAAATAGGCGGCGCGAGCGGTGCGACGTCGAGGTACTACTTCCGCATAAGGGTTTCTGAGCGCGACTTTGTTGTTAACTCCGCAGAAGGTATTACACAATGCTTGCTGCGCCTGCTTATACATCCGCCGCTTCTTGTGCGCCTCTTGATGTAGCCTTTCCGCTTTCTCTTCCCTCTACAGGCGGCGCGACGGCAACGTTGCAACTTACGCTTGGCGGTTAAGTGCACCCCGCTCCTGGGGCTACTCAGTCAGCAGCAATGTTTACGTGAGAGGAGGGGGGGAGGAGAGATATAAAGCTCGTCAGCGAGCATCGTTTTCCATCTCTTGTTCCTCGTCAAAGCTCCTCGAAGCAAGCATATCAAACACATTCCTCCACACTCCTCCACACTCCTCCATACTAAAGCCCCACCATGAAGCTTTCCACTGCACTGGTACTGTTCGCTACGCTGCTCCCCTTCGCCGCCGCAGGCCCCTGCTGCAATTCCAAAAACGGCAATTGCGGTGACGGCACCAGAGGAACCCCCTGCTGTGGCTACAGGACCTGCAATATCTTCTGCTGCGACTGCGGAGGCGGTAAGTAATCTCTCTACCCACCTTTTTCTTTACGGTAAAGCTCGAGGATGCACTGACATGCATATGCGTTATAGGTTGTCGACACAGCATCTCTCTCAACAAATTCACCCTTGCGCGTCTGCAGTCGAAGCATGCGTCGGGTGCGGAAGAGGCTTTTGAGCTTGCTAAAGAAGCTGATACTGGCGAGCTTACTCTCCGTCAGTATACCGAGTACATGGGCGTGGCGGCTGACGACCCCGTCTACGTTGACTGGTTTTACAAGTATGTTGCAGAACGCTTGATATGCTACCGTGGGAACTGGTACTTACAAGTGATGAATGCAGACACGACACAAATGGCGATGGCGTCATCACTGTCGACGAAATCCGCCTTCAGGACGAGCTGGAGTTGTAGGACTTGGTAGGTTTGGCCTCCGCCTGATGTTAAGACAGACACTCTTTTGAAGTTACGGTAACCGAAGCGTGACGTGGTTGGACTGTTTTGAAAGTATGACCAACACTCTTTTGCAGCTTGGTGAAGCTATGATGCTTTACGGTTGAAGGCGTTGAAACAGTTAAAATTGATTTGCCAAAAGTTGAGGAAGGCGCCGTCCTTTTCGTCTTCGTAGCCTTCGCGTGCCTTGCTAGGAACAATTCAGTATTTTTCTTTCTATACAGTGAAACATTAGCATCCTGCATTGGCGCGGAATCACCCCTCCTGTCAGTATCCTTGCCTTGATCATGCATGTCATCAAGTCCCTGCAGTGAAGCCATGGAATGGGGCACGACTTCGAATGTCAATACCGGAGCCTGACAGCAGCCGCCGTCCAATCCCCAACGGCCACAGCTGTCCCAACCAAGCCACAAGATCCCGAGACCAACACCAGAGTACACAACAAGCCCCAAGCCTTGCCGTCCACGCCAATGCTGACCGGCGATATCGAGTCCCGGCTCCTCACGTTATCGCTCTCAAAATCTCACTCGTCCACGGGCACCGCCATTGTCCACCGTTGCTCGATCACGGAAAGGCAACTCGTAGCGAAAACCTCCTTGATTGAACGATGGCTGATAAAGAAAAGAAGACGATCCAGTCGCTTCTTAGCACTCGGTGCACGAATTGTACACAAAGGCTGCAGGACTGTCGAAGATAACATAGTGTAATCCTAAGCTCGGTAACGGTTAGTCGTTTGCGAGGGTAGAGCCGCATGCGGCAGCAGCGACAGGAGAAGAAAAAGAAAAGAAAACAAAAGACAGAACGAAAAATGCCCGTGCTAAACATACCTGCCCTGCCCCGCAAGAAGCATGCACAGAATCTGCGCCTGCCATCAGTAGACCCCACGTCCCTAGATAGAGTTTTACAACACAGCGGAGCGATGGTCAGTGTATCTTGTGCAAAACATGACTGTGATTATGACCCGAGAGACGAATGCCAAAAAAACTCAAAAGATTTCAAAAGCTCCTGGCCTACTACGCCGCGGTCAAGATAGCAAGAACCCACAGCACCATCAACACGCAAGTTAAAAACGTCCACAATCCACCAAACAACTCTCCCCAATGCAAACCACATCCGCCGCCCCGTCATCGGCGATCAAAGGCAGCTCGCGCCGCCCAATCACACGATTCCGAGAGACCCAGACGACGATCAAGGGACAGATTGCTCCGTCCCGATTATCTGCCCAAGCCGCTCTCAGAGGAACCACTTAGCGCCAGCCGAAGCCTACGCTGTCATGGTTCCCCCTCGAGCACGGCACCAGTGACCCAGAAAAGAAAAAGAGAAAAGGGAAGAGAAAATCCAAGGAAACAAAACAAAATCAGAGCAAGGTGAGAAAGCATCAGGTCTCGAGCGCGCCCACGCAACCTCCTTACGTCGCATTAGAATGCCATTCCGCCGAGCCTTCCAAATGCGCTTGTAACGCTCTTCCAGTGATTCGTCGCACTCAAAAGCTTCTACTCGTACTAGGTTGCTCGTCGGGGGCTGAGTCTTGGTCGCAGGTCGTCGAGAGCAGTTGGAATTGGAGAAATAGTCGCCAGCCAGGCAGCCGCCTTGCCTTAAGCAGGCTAGCGTGACAGTCCCATGGGTGCGGCGTCCCGGAAAAACGCAGCAGCCGGCTATCTTCACTCCCGCTTGCCGCTTCAACCACCACCGCGTCCGTGTCAACCTAGGTAACGCAACCCTCGCTTGCTTTCGTCATCACAAACAGCAACAACAACAACAACATGATTGCGCTCGGCCTCGAAGGCAGCGCCAACAAGCTCGGCGTGGGCATCATCTCGCACCCTGCGCCTGGCAAAGAGCCCATCGTCCTCGCAAACCTGCGGCACACGTACAACTCGCCGCCCGGCGAAGGTTTCCTGCCCAAAGATGTCGCGCGCCACCACCGTGCTTGGGTCGTCCGCCTCGTGAAGCAAGCCATGCGCCAGGCCGGCCTATCTCCTGCCGACCTTGACTGCATCTGCTACACCAAAGGCCCTGGCATGGGCGCCCCGCTACAGAGCGTCGCTATTGCCGCGCGAACGCTGTCGCTCATGTGGGACAAGGAATTGATTGGCGTGAACCATTGCGTAGGACGTATGCTTTGCCCTGCCCTGTCCACGCCGCCAGCTTAGGCTAATAATGGTTTGCAGACATCGAAATGGGTCGCGCCATCACCGGTGCTCAGAACCCTGTCGTCCTCTACGTTTCCGGCGGAAACACCCAAGTCATAGCCTATGCAGCACAGCGCTATCGTATATTTGGCGAGACGCTCGACATAGCCATTGGAAACTGCCTCGACCGCTTTGCGCGCACACTACGCATACCGAACGACCCCGCCCCGGGCTACAACATCGAACAGCTGGCGAAGAAAGGCAAGCATTTACTTGATCTTCCGTATGCCGTCAAAGGAATGGACGTTAGTTTCTCTGGAGTCAAGGCGGCAATTGACGAGCTTGCTGTCAAGATTGATGAAAGTCTTCCCGAGGATCAAAGACTGAAAAGCGAAGAAGATGGCGAGCTTATAACGCCCGCTGATTTGTGTTTTTCTTTGCAAGAGACCATTTTCGCAATGTTGGTCGAAATTACAGAGCGTGCTATGGCGCATGTTGGGTCTACGCAGGTCCTTATCGTGGGAGGCGTAGGTTGCAATGAAAGGCTGCAAGAGATGATGGGCCTGATGGCAAGAGACAGAGGTGGAAGTGTCTATGCGACGGATGAGAGGTTCTGCATCGATAACGGCATCATGATAGCCCACGCTGGGCTGTTGGCACACGAGACTGGCGTCAAGTTGCCATTTGAGGAGACCACCTGCACACAAAGATTCCGAACAGACGAGGTGTTTGTGAAATGGAGGGACTAAGCGAAGCGGCGATTGCCATGAAATGATGGCCCCATGTAGGTCGTTGCTGTAAGAGTAAAATTAAACTCGATCGGGCGGGGTGGAGCTTGTACTCGAACTGACGCCAGTGGTAGCGGCAAGAGGTGGGTCAGGCGAGGCAAACATGGTAAGGAGAGCCGGGTCCACTGCGATCTCGCTGGCAGGAGCAGATGTGGTGGCGGGACTGCCCGGGGAAAGGAAGTCAGGAGTGGCGAACCTTCCCAGCGGGTCCGCCTCATTATGAAACATGAATCCGAGGTCGAACGGCGTGTTCTCCCGGTCTAATGCTGTAACCGCCGCAGAAGGAGACTGCGGGGGAGAGGGGGAGGGGGACGAGGAGCCAGGAGACGAGAAACCGGAAGATGAGGAACCGGAAGATGATGAACCGGAAGATGATGAACCGGAAGATGATGAACCGGAAGATGATGAACCGGAAGATGAGGAGGGAGATGAGGAGCCAGAAGATGAGGGGGGAGACGAGAGGGAAGATGTGGAGGCGGACGTGGAGGAAGACGAGGGAGATGTTGTAGGATGGCGGAGCCAATATTTAACTTCGCTGTTGTCCTCCAACCAATCCTTCTGCACCATGTACTCTCCCGCAGCCTGCGCCGGCCAGGGGTACGTCGTCCGCTTCATAAATGTTGTGATTCTGGAAGGGGACATCCTCGCCGTCGGTTTCGTACGCCAAGCGTGGCCGGCAGTCGATGGCATTGGGGTAGCGGTGCGGGAGCGGCAGCGCTTGCGGCGGGCGTGGCGGTTCCATTCACCCTCTTCATCTTCGTCGTCCTTTTCGTCGTCGTCAGCCCGTGACCGCTTTCCGAGGCTGGAGGAGGAGGAGTTGGAATCGGAGTCGGAGTTGTCGTACAGCATGCCCTCCTCCCAAGCTGCATTTTCCAGAGGCCACCATTCACGTATCTTTCCACAGCGTGTGGTGCCGCGCTTCTCTGTACGTCGCAGTTTGTACCTGCGGACAGGGAATTGTTTGGTCCAGTGCACGTGGCGAGTCGGCGACGGCGTCGCTTGACTGGTGGCGCTGTCGGTGTCGACGTCGGCATCGTCGTTGGCATCATCGTCGGGATCATCCTCTGCTACCTCGGCAACAGGAGGAGAGCGGGTCGTCGAGGTTGGAGTTGAGGAAAGGGACGAGAGCGGAGACGACGAAGGCGAACGAAGACTGACAATGGGGGGGTCGTCGGTCTCGATCGACTCCACAACATCACTTCTGGGGAGGAATGTCAGTGCTAGCTGTCTGCTCTGGGAACAAACGTGATCAGGAAAGGGCATACCCAACTTCGGGCGACGACGACCATTCGCGACGCTCAGGAACGGCTGGAGCATCACTTCTATAACGGATGTCAGTAAAAAGTTGATACTACGCACTAGAACTACTCACTCAACCAGAGAGTCATCAACAGTGACGGCCACGGAACCAGCAAGGCGGACCGTACTGGTTCGGGCGCGCGACTCACTCACACCTTCTTCAGGTGCAACAGAACCTTCAGGCGTGTCCTCAACCTCACCTTCACCCTGATTGCTGCTGCCATCAGCAGGAGCGGGGCTGCCAGCAACCGAGTCCGCGTTGGAGGGGCCGGCAGCAGCGGGAGACGGGGAGGGGGAGGCATCTCGGATTTTGACGGTTTGTTGACCGCGGAAGAAATCGACACGTGCGCGCACGACGTCAGAGGTGATGTCGAGGAGGAGTGCGAGCTTGTCGAACTCTGCTGCAGAGATAGGGTCACCTAGACCGATGAGGTGAACTAACAGCGTGCATTCGCGAGCTGCGGTCCACTTGTACGGCTGTGAGAACTTGTTAGTGACATAGCGCACAGGGTAAAACGTGAAATTAGTGAGGCGGCTGAAGGGAGTGAGATAGAGAGCTGTCGACGGCTGATGTGTGAGGTTAAGGGCGTTGCTGGCAGCCACTGCAGGCGGGACGATGTGGAGGTGTGGAAGTGGCACAGAACAAGTTAGCAAGACGTACCTTCGGTGCCGTATTCCGAGCTGGTGTAGGAGGCTTCAAGGACCTTGGCGCCTTCGCAGGGGCGCGTCTTCTGGCCACCTTTGGCTGAGGCACCGGAGTGGCAGAGCGCTCGTAGGACGCCTTTGTTGCGGCGACTGTCGCGGGGCGAAGAGAACGAGGAGACATTGCTGGTGAATGTCGTGTGAGAGGTGACTTTGCGACGGTGGTAATTGTTGTTATGGTGGTAATGCTGGCGCAAAGTCGATGTAAGGTGATGGTTGTTGGGTTTGTGTTGGTGCTCAAGAGGTGAAGGATATGGTAGTTTCAAAAGCGGAAGGCACAACAACAGGTTTCACATGGCAACGCGCTGAAGTGAAATTTTCACCCACAACGCGCCGACACTCCGACAAGGTGAAAGAAAAATAAAAGCAGACTGCAGTGCAAGTGGACCGACCGATACCGACTGCACCTAGGAGGGCAGACCATATGAACCTCAATGTAGGTAGGTGACATCATCCAAAAGGCAGACAATGACAGCAGACTGAAGCGCCACAGAGCCATGCCATTCACATGCACACACAAAGGACTGCGGTGCTTTCTCAACCCTTAACGACTTGGATCGCACTCAGTAGTGCAGGCTTTTTTTCCACCAACCATTTAAAGGAAAACAAAAGTCCGAACGATATATGGAATGCAAAAAGCTTTTCGAAAGAGGCAGTACCTACTGCTGTGGACAGCCTACCTGAATTTTCACTTCCAATCTAGACAGCGCACCATGCTAAAGCGCGTGGCGCTCCTACCTGGCGATGCCAAGTTTCTTTGTCGCGCTTTGAGGATCTGCTCTTCACGCCACTAATTGTTCCATTCGCCAGATTCGCCAACGGTTCCAAGGCGCACAGCCATCCCTCAGACCGGCAGCGAGTGTTTTAGATTCCCGCATATAGCGACACATTTAGATCTGACACTTGCCGCAGCTTTTTCTATGTTTACACACCCCACAAAGGCGGAACAACCGAGGCAAGCGCAGCGAAGCATCGACGATGACAATAGCACACAGAGCCCCTATCGGCGTGGCCGCACTCACTCACGCCAGCGATCAACCATATAGCCGACGATCGGACAACCGTATAAAAGAGAGTTATAATGAGCATCAGGTCTGGCAGGGCCGACGGGCGCCACGGCTTTCTCGCTCGGAGATGGCTTGAGTCAGTGGCTCAGCACATGAGGAAGGGATCCGGATATAGGTGTTTTCAGTGGAAAAATGAGGCGCTCGTACAGCAGATTGCAGTTTGCGCTCAACCGCGTCGATCCTCTGCACCGCCTGCAACCCCTGAAAGCGCACCTCAGCAGGCCGCCACGACGCGCCGCAGACATGCAGGCAGGCAAGCAGGCGATAGAGTCGCGGGATGCCGGATGAGGCCGCCGGCAGCGGGCGTGGGGGTTGAAGCGACGGGCCTGGGCGGGCGAGGGGAGCACGGGGAGCAGCAGCAGAGGCATGAGATGAGGTTTGGGCGGTGAAGGGCAGTCGGAGATTCGCGGAGTTTCGGGCCTAGGCTTGCCGGGCCCCAGCAGGCCAGGGCCCGTAGGGCTGACGAGCAAAAGCCGCCAAGCGCTTACCGGGCTTCTCGCTCAATGACATCTCTCACCCTCGGCCTCTTGCTTCCACACCCCCTACCGCGTTGCTGCCTTGGGGCCGTCCTCGTGGTTGCCTTGCTGAGCCGCAGCATCGCAACATCATGCCATTTCAGCCGTCGCCACTCAGCAGCTCCCTCTACACAATCACCACTCATCTCTACCTACTTCTCTGCATGCTGATCCTCAGCAAACGACGGGGCTTGGCGACCCGCCTCCCCACATCCACCGTCACTGACTCTCGGACGAGCCCGAACAGCGCCTAAACCCTCACGGGCAACGCCCGGTTTCCAAAATAGGCCTGCCGTAGAGGGTCCTGTCACGGGCCCGCAATCCGAGGCGCAGCAGCGGATGACGAGAGGCAAACCCACACTGAGTCTGACCTCAACTCCATCCCAAGCCCCGGCAAAGGCATCGTACTGGACCCCCGTGTGGTCTAAGCCGCAGCTCTCGGATCACGCATTGAGCACCTGGCTGGCTCTATCCTTAGTACACCCAACGTTGATACCGCAGCAGCAGCAGCAGCAGCATGCTGCGGTTACAGTCTGCGAAACACCTTGGATATAAGTAAGTCCCAGGCGTGTTACCATGGCCGCCATCACTCTGCAATCCATCAGTTGTTCTCTTCTTCTCTTCGCAAAAGCCAGATATCCTTTCCTATCTTCAGCATCTGCATCTGCATCTACTTGCGTCCTTGCATTTACCCGAGAACTCCCACCACCCCAGCTCGTCTGCATTACCCAATCCATCCATCCACCCATCTATTCGTCTCTATTACCTTTTCTATGGGCCGTGGTGGTTACAATTAAACCCGTCTGAACCACCAATCACCGAACCGTCATCTCAACCTTGTCATCCAATCATCCCATACTATTTCACCCATTGAGGCCCCCCACCCACTCCACCCTCGCCAAAATGTGCATCCGCCTCGTGGAGAAATACGCCGTCTGCGGCTGCACCTACCACGTGCACTCGATCGACCCCTGCGCGAGCTACGGGCACCACGCCGTCGTCGACCGCGTCGTTAGCGTCGGGTATTGCTGCACGTCGCACGCGAAGACGACGGCAGTGCACGCGTAGTAGCACAAGGCGACGTAGGCCGGCGCACCGCAACCCAACCACACTCCTCATCTTTGCTCTACCTTTTTCCGATTTGCTTCCGCAAACACTCCCTACTGCTGCCCGGTGCAGCGTGGATGCGAACATGCGAACCCGAACCCGGTATTGCTGCATGCATGCACTTCTTGTGCGCCTGCGTGCCCGCTTGCTGGGTCTCGTCCTGCATCATGCATGCTGCTGCGCTGCGGCCTTCTTACGACGGAGCTGGACTCCGTCGACTTTTCCTCTCAATCACCACGCGCTGCGCGTTCGCCTCTCTACCTACCTGCCATGTGCCTCGCGGCGCAAGGTTCCGCAAGCGGGACAAGAGCAGGATTTCGTCATTAGACAATGAGACCAATGCTCTAGACGAGTCCTTGGTTTGTGTTTTTCGATTTCGGTTTTTTGGTTTTTGGTTTTTGTTCTTGAAGGATGTTGTTCAGCAAGCGGCATTTCCTGGCGTTTTCACCTTTCTCTCGGATTGAGTTTCTGTCTTTCTGTTTATTCGAGCGCTTGCGCGGATGTTGTTCTGCATGGCATCGCATGGCATCGCATGGCATCGCATCGCAGCGCACGCAATGCGTCTCTGCTCCTTTCTCCCTTCAACATCTTCGGCGTTGTATTGCATTGCATCTGCATCTGCATCTGCATCAAAGCGGCGTTCAAAGCGGCATGCCATTGGCATTTGATCCCTTTTAGCTTTACCCCACTTCTTCACTTCTTGCTCTTTCTGCTTTTTATATACACGGCGCACCCCTCTACCTATTCCTCTAGATAGTAGCCAGACAGCACACGTGACCTCGCGCCACGCCGCTCCGAATCCACGATTTGATTTCTGCATCCTAACTCCATCGTCCCTTCTTCAAGTGCCAAAACCACTCTGCCTCATGCCTATTTATCTAGCAAACCATAGGTACCAACAACAAAACAGACACGCTCACGCCACCACCGGCAACGGTTACCTAGGTATGCATCACCACCGCCGCCGCCGCCGCCGCTGTGGCCGAGCCGAAGCCCGCCCGCCCTCGCCCTCGCCCTCGCCACAGCGCTCGTTCCTGGCCCCCAAGCCCAACCCGGTTCCGCGGTCGCGGCCACGTGGGCCTGCGCCGCGGAGCGCTGACTTGGCACGCCTAGGTACCCAGTTCGCGGTGGCCCGATCGCGGGGGTCCGGCGTGCTGGGATGCTGTGTGCGTGCACCGCCACGCCACGATGATGCCGTGGCTGGCTGGCTGCCTGGCCGGGTACTGGGCCTCTGCGTCTTTGGTGTGAAGGACGGTCGGTCGGTGGGGTGGGTTGGGTTGGGAGGGCTTGTAGGTAGGGATGTTTTGGGAAGAAGGAAGGAGTGGCGGCTGGTGAGGTTACGTGGGATTGGGATCGGATTGGGATCGGGAAGGGATTGTGATCAGGATCACGATTACGATAGAGCGATTGGGAGCGCGATCCGCGCGATCCGCGCGTGTTTGGCGCCAGGGTAGTGTTCCTACGCAGTAGATGGATGGGTTGGAGGGGCGGGAGACCCGGTCCGCGGAGCTGGGTAGGTAGGTACCTAAGGTAGGTTGGATTGGGTTCGATTGCGCGGGCTGCAGCTTGATCGCGGAGGGGTTGCGAGATGGTATGTGTGGTACCTAGGTATCTGTGCCTCAGGATCAGATAGGCAGGTCTGTACTGTACTGTACGGAGTACCTAGGAGGGGATTGGGCTTTGGCCTTGGCTTTGGCGTTGCCGTGCTAAGTGGGAAAGCTTGCGAGGTGGGGGCTGGATGTCGTGGGGTGTTCGTCATGCGTTAAGCGTGCGCTAGCTAGCTGCCTAGGTAGGTACGCAGTCTATGCGCAGTACCTACATATGGGCTTGTTTTTTGCTTTTTGTGCTGTGCTCTTTTTTTGTGGTCGAGGAGGGCTGGGGCGGCGGTTGCCTGGCTGCTTCCTTCGTTATGCGCTCGCGCGCTGGCGTGGGTCGCATCTTTGCGGGAGTGCCGTGGGCCGTGGCGCGTGAGGCTGGTGTGTGGGGTTGAGGGCGTGCCGCGTGGCTGCGGGCGGGTTTGCGGGCCTGTCTGCGGCTGGGGGCCGTGGGTCCTGCGCCGTGTGTGTGTTGTGCTTTTTTATTTTTGTACTTCGGTACTTGCTAATAGGTAGGTTTTGACCGCCTAGCTACCTAGTTCTTCTATAGCTAGAGTTACGTCACGCGAGGTGGTTGGCTTTCTTTAAACACCTAATTTACGGGAGAAGATAAAAATATGTATATTGGTCCCTTTTAATCACTCATCTACCTTACCAACACAACGTTAAGACAAAACAAAACAAGTGCTTTATTGTAGATATCTATCAAACATTCAGATCAGTCTTAAAAACGCGCTTGCTCCCGAATAGACCACAAAAAACGAATTATTGAAATACAACACAGCGTTTAACTGAACCGCCAGCCGACCAAAAAAGAAAACCACTTTACCATCCCGGTGGGTAGAGACACCATTACATAGATAACCTTTTAACAAGCCATATTCTCTATCACCAGCACTGCTTAAATCGCTATTTAAATTCATAGATCCAATTCCCGAAACGCCTTAACCTGCACAGGTAGAGAGCAAACACACACAACCGCACCTAAACAAACACCTCACGCACCACGCATCCAGACAAACCGCACAAAGAAAACCAAGCAGGCAAAGAAGAATAAACCCTATACCAATACCAATACTACTAATACCGCTAACTACCTCCCTACGCACCAACCATTCCTCCATCCCAGCATATCCATCCCATCGCAGTTTGTTTGTTTGTACTGTACGACACCATACCAAACGACACCGAACAAGCCAAGCCAGGCTACTGAATATCCGTTCTTTCCATTCGCCGTCATGCTTCATTCGTGATTACATCCATGCACAGTGCAGTGCATTGCAGTGCACAATGCCATGTCCATGTCCATCCCCACGTCCATGCTCATAGGTACCCAGTTCCACCCCGTGTAAGTCCAAAATGGCCGAATGAGTCCAAGAAACCCCAAGTCCAATAAAAAAAAAAAAATGAAAGTCAGCCAATCCCGCGCCGTGCCGTGCCCGATATCCGTGTCCGCGTCCGTGTCCGTAGTTCCCTCCTCCCATTCGCTGCTATCCTACCTATCCCCTTTGTGCTGTTTGTTTGTTTGTTTGTTTGTTTGCTGGGTTGTTTGTGTTTTTTCTGTGTGCAGTCCCATTCGCTCCGTCATGTCCCGTTCCGATCTGATCTGATCTGCTCTGCTCTATCCCATTTCCCCAACCCACCCAACTCAACTCAACCAACACATCCGACTTCACCCCCACTCACATCCCTCTCTCAGTTGCCAAAGTAAAGCCTCATAGCAGCAAGCACTCTGCGTCTACAAACCGGGCACTGGTCCACCCGCCTTGCACACGCCAAACAAGCAACCACATGCCCGCAATCATAAAACGCCGCGTCCGCGGCCTCCTCCCAGCAAATGCGACAAAGGCGTTCCTCTTGCTCCGCCTGCCGCCAATGCGTCACTCCCTCGCCGAACCTCCGTCCGCCGCGCCAACCGCCATGATACGCGTTCCCGGACGCGGCCTCGACCAGCGAGCCCTGCCCGTCCGGAAGGTCCCCAGCAAAAGACCCCGTGTACACGTCGCCGTTGGCGTGGATGAGTTGGCCTTGGCCGTGCCGCCGCCCCAGCCGGAACGAGCCCGTGTAGCTGCTCCCGTTGTGGTACCACCGCGTGCCTTGCCCGTGCATCTTGCCCTTCACCAGCGTGCCGACGTACCACTCTGACGAGAAATGGTCCAAAGTGTAGTACCCGTTCAGCGGCGGCGTCGGTGCGAAGCGCATCGCGGTCGCGTAGGCCAGGTAGTCGTGCGGGTCCGGGAACAGGCCGCGCGATTCGAGCGCGTCGCGCTGCGTGTCCGTGAGGCGCGCCATCGCGATCAGGATGCATGCGTTGTGCAGGCCGGCGGCACTGAAAGACTGCGAGGCACGGCTTTCAAGCGGGGATGCGCTGGTGGGGGATTCTTCTTCATAGATGTCGATGGCGATGCTGGCGGGGAAATTGGCGATCTTGCGGATGAACGGCTCAATATGCTCGTTTTTCTTGACCATGGTACTGCACGTCGACCTGAGACGCTGCATCTCAGGATCGAAGGTCTTGAGGAAGAAGTAGATCTCTTCGGTGGGTGGCGTGGCGACGGGCGGTGGAGGAGGCGGGACGGTGATGTCGAAGGGATTGACAAATGGCTGACTTGGGTCTCTTACGACGTCGATGTTGAAAACCGTGCCGTCTTCACCTATGAACGCAGGTGGCGCTACTGGTGGAGGTGGTGGCGGAGGGTGAGTGTGTACAGATCCCGACTCTCCCATCTCTGTGTCATCTCCTTGAGCTCCCGCAGCCAGTAGATCAGCAGCCACTCCCATTTCCTCAGAAACGTCCGCATGGTGGCGGGCAGCCTGAGCCACGACCCCAGCAGCCTCGGCAACCACCACGTCCATCTGCTCATTCGTAGGTGCTTCCGCAGTGCCTTCATCGTCATCGTCCGGATCGCTCATGAGGGTATCTTCGACGTGAACATTGGAAGAGGTGGTGTTTCTGGCATGATCAATGTCCTGAGACGTGCCTGGACTATTTTGGTCCGCTGGTACCGCGACCGCGCCATTGGAGTTGGATTCAGTCTTCGGTAGCTCAGGTAGTGTTGGGAGATCCGCCACGTGCACCCATATCCTACGCTCAGGGTAGTCGCTCGCGACTGACTTGATCATACCCATCTCGGTGCCCTGGCCACTAAACTGCTCGAATGTCGTGCTGCTCCGCAGGTTTGGCCGATGGGAGGTACCTTGGGCATGGTCGAAGAACCAGAATTTGCATTGTCGAGGATCCTGGATGCGTTCAATGGCAGAGGCGATTGCAGCCCGAATAACATCTGCCGTAGCCGTGGGATGAACGTGTATGGTACGAGCAAGCTTTAAACGTTGATATTTGTGTTCGTTCGGGTCGATCATGCCAGGCCCATGATGCATCAAGAAAGATTGTGAGTCGAAGACTTCAAAGTCTATCATCTGACCTTCCGCAAGCTTGCTGTTAGACTCCTCCTCCGAGGACCGCTTGAGCCATTCCGGCACGTTCCAAACTGGCTCTGAACCTGCAAAGGCATCCGATGCGATGTCGTTTCGGACAAACAAAAGGATATATGCCAACGGTCTTTTCGGATCACCGCCTTCGTGCATGTCAACCGCCTTCTTTGTCAAGCATACCACGCGATTCTCATCCTTGGCATCATAGTATGCATACCACTTTCCACCGAGACCGGCCGGGCGTAATACGGAATAGTATGAACCAGACTGCAAGCTGTCTTTGTGTGCGACGAACCCGTAGAAGACATAAGCTTTGCCCTTGACATCGACGACGTCCTGGAACGCGACCTTGTCCGAGAGCTTCTTCATGGTGCGAGAACTGGTGTCGAATTCTTGGCGTTCAAGTTCGATGTGCAATATCTCAGGCGGCCGATGACCCTTGTGGGTGAGATTTGATGCCTTGTCAATGGCAATTTGGATGTCGTTACAGTTCTTGACGGGTACACGATAGCTCGGGTGGTTGGTGAGACGATCCCTTTCAGGACCAAAAAGCTCCTTGAACCTCATAGCTTGCGGTGTGCCTGTCAGTTCCAGCTCGAGCTTGGCCCTCAAGATTTCCCAAAGTTGGATCACGTCCAGTTTCCCCAAATGCTCATCAAACCCGTACCATTCTAACGCATCCCAGATCTCTTCCAAATCAATGGCCTCGCAACCAGGCTGGACATCGGTGCGCATTCTGTACAAAGTACGTTGGAGTGCAGCAAGGAGTGGTTTCGGACGCTTACGCGCCTCGGTGACTGGATCCGGAACGGTGACGCTGTAGAGGAATTCCCGAAAAGGCCTCAGAAGCATCCAAGATGAGATTGCAGAAATTATGTTACCGTCATGTGTGCTGTACTCAGGATCGCAGAGACCTTGTAGTCCGGTCATCGCAAAGTTGTCCCAACGATTGTCCCGGCCATGATGCTCCCAAAGGCAACCGGTTTCGTCGTCGACGACGCGAATGTAGCAAGTGAAGGATAGAGTATCATTCCGAAGCAGAGCTTGCCGCTGGCCTCGATGGCGCCGATGAATATCCTCATAAGGACCGTGGAAGCGCGTCCAACCCCAGTCCGTGGAGTTGGGGCCAAACCTGTGGCAACATGACTTGTAGTAGTTGACGCGCGGCTCTTGGGGGTTATAAATGACGACAGCGACTTGCGCTGCGACGCTAGGGCGCTTTAAAACTGGATCCGTAAGTAATGGGAGAGGCGTCTCTTGGTATTCTTTCGGTGTAGATTCCTGAAAAAAGTGTTGTGGTGCACCGTGACGCGATGCCTTGGTGGCATCTTCCGCAGTCCCTTGATTGGAGGGACCGCTGTCTTTCCTATCGTCGTCCTTTTTAACAGAGAGACATTCCACGTAAACGCTCAGATACTCCGTATCGTTGCCCTTGGGGTAGAACTTGATTTGCCAGTCATACCCTCCCACATTGGCGGCAGGCGATCTCATAAGGTATTCCTTGTTCGGGTTCTCTCTGTTGCCGTTGTAGTGATCTAACGTCCAATGGAAGCGGCCACTCGGTCCTGCAGTGTACTCCGGCTCATTGAGAGCTGTGAAAGTGCGGCTTTCCCAGTGTTCATCTGCGCAACCATTTAGTCCTCAGAGGGTTATCTGACGAGTTGATATGTGACTTACGATCCAAGGCGCTAACTTCGCCCGCAGCCTCTATCTCCCTCAGCTCATCCTCGCTAGGGACCGAAGTATCCTCACGAATTTCTCTCCAACGGGGCATGTCGTCCTCGTCGTCGTCAGAAGAATCCTCGTGCTCACCTCTTGGCGAAGGTGGATCAAGATGAGCAATGGGCGCTGGTGGTGGAGGTGGCGGCAGTGACGCAGGGCGACTGTCGCCGGAGTCGACAGAGCTGCCGTGGGAATTCACACGGACGAGGTTCTCGTTTACTTCAGGCGCGGGTGTGCTGCCTGTTTGTGAAGTATGAGTAGCGGAATGATCTGCGGGAGCACCGTCCATCGAGGCGGCTGGAACGAGACCAGGAGCTTGTGCGAGGCTGGCGACCTGGATGGTGCCTGGCATGTCTGGCGTGGTGTCCATAGCGTCGTGCGCGTTATGAGTACGCGGCTCGAGCGCGGACCCAGTCTGGTGATTCGTTTGCGACTCGCCTGCTCCTACCGAGCTCGCGGTGCCGTCCATGTCTGAAGCTTCGGAGGCGTCGTCGTCGTCTTCGTCGTCGGAGACGTCGTCTTCCTGATGCGAGGCAGGCAAGGCGGTAGGGGCGGGCGTGTGAATGTCTTCGGCATGCGCAGTGGGAGGGAATCGAGGGCTGCGCGGGCTGTGGGGGCTCTGCGGGCTGCTGCGAGGGAAGGCAGCAAATGTCGCAGGCGAGGGGGAGCGCTGAGCGAACAGCAAAGGCGGAGGATCTCTGCTCGCGGTGACGCTCATGGTGACTCAGCACGGGAACAGGCAGGGAAGGAGGTCGAGGTTTGGGTGGTGAGGGCGGGCGGCGGTAGATGAAGCTCCCTGGCTTATCGGCGGAGCAGAGTCAGAGGCTCCACGTAAGACGACATGCATGTACAACACTGGCCCAGTCGGTCGCGGGGGTAGACAGGCGGGAGGCGGTTCATTTATCTGGCAGGCTGCAACGGTGCTACGTAGAGTACAGTGCCATCCATGGACCCGCAGCCTCACTCCTGCCCGCCCGCGAGAGCTATGGCCTCGCCCGAGCTTCTCCACTGTCGCGCCATACCCGCCCGGGCCTAGCGCCCCGCGCCCTCCAGCACTGCAGCCTGCCCGCCTCCACGCGCGCCCGTGATGTGGTGTTTCAGCACTGCACCAATCGTGTCGGCCTGCATCCCCGTGGCATGATTAGGCATTGGCTGATCACTGGCGATCTCCAAGCCTCTGTGGCCTCCTCCAGGCCTCCAGCTTACCCAAAGTGCCTGACAAGCAACACGTCCCTCGACGCCACTTGTGCTCTGTGGGCTTGCGGAGATTTTATAGACGAGACCAGCTGCTGGAAAAAGTCGTTCGGAGTAATTCTACGCTACAGCCAAGGTTAGCACATGATGGGTGTACGGAGGAGGAGTTTATAGAGGTAGCTTGTGGTGCGTTCGTTCGTTCATTCATGCCCGTCTGATACGTGTACCTTTGTCTACCTCCCACCGAAGTTGCTGGAAGAAGCCTACCTAGGCGATAGATGACCCATTGTCTACGGGGTACCTGCTGTCCCCTGATGATCATCTTTCCACATGGAACTCGGTGTCTTTGACTGAAAACGAGCACGCGCGCCCCTGTGGACTTCGCGGGATTGCTTTGTTGAAAACGTCTGATGCAACGATGCCACGCACACAATGGAAAGACATGGCCGGGCGCCACAAGTCCAGCCAAATGCCGTGTTGCCACACGTGATGGACAGAAATTCTCCCGCAAGACGCGACGTCATTGGCCAGGCGATCCGCCTTAGCTAAGCAAGGACCCTCGACGGCGGGCCCACCAGGCATTTTCCACAATCCACTCCCCTTTGCGCGTGGCTGATCTAGCGCTCGGGCCCGCCCCTTGTCGCACGCGTGACGCCCGCTGCCAGCCGGGGCTGATGGGCGATTCTCAGGCAGGCCAGGACGAGGGGATGCAGGCGTTCGGCAGGCCTGCAGCAGCAAGTCTGTCGCCTGGCCCTTTCCCGCCCGCTGGGCCGCAGCGCCCGTGTGTGCGTCGTTTCTTCTGCGCGACGCCGAGGCTGCCCCCCGATCTGAGTCCTGACACACCCTCAACGGGCTGTGCATGGAAGCGTGCCGCGAAACCTCTTAGCTCCTTGTCCGGGTCGGGCCAACCATGCGTCACCGCAGCACATCTTCAACAGCCGGCCAATGGCGACGGCGGCCGCATCTGCCAGCGGCATTGGAATCTGCGGGTCGACTCGGGCTTTCCCAGATGCAGCAGCAAGGCACACCAAGGCGGCGGATGCACGGCGTAACCGTTCTCGATTTGCGTGGCCGTGAAATTGGACCTTGCGTGCATGATGCCCGTTCCTCGTCTCGTCTCCTCATCCGCGACTCCATCTCCTCTGCATCCACAACAACACCACGCCATCTACCCCAGCACCATCGCCCGCCATCGCCCCCGCAACCTGCACCCTACACCGGAATGCGTCGTGCGCCCTAGCTGCCCACACGAGCGCCCTCGACACTGCACGCCGCCCGCCAACACCGCCATCAGCAGGCCGCAGCCAAGCCGCCACGTCAAGCTCATCGAACCGGGGTGCGACGAGACGTACCGTTGCTCCAGCTGTCAAGCGCAGGCCGCCGCGACAGGCACTGCCATTTCCATCCATCCATCCGTCCATTACCGCCGCAGCCAGCGCCGTGTGTGCCGAAGCGCGTAGAGGCCACGCTCATCGAGAGCCAGTCTCGGTCGCCGCAGCGTTCAGGGCGACCCGAGATTCTCGCCAGCCCGGTTCTGGCCTTGCCCTTCGGATCGCTGGGCTCCATTGCGGCTGTTCCTCCCTCAAAGCACGGACTTTGCGCTAAGAATTAGGGTTCGCGCTAGGCTATTTTTGGCGCCGATTCTCCATCCCAGTTCTCACTCGACACCCGTCAACCCTCGATTACACAAGACTGTAAGTGACTTCCCTTGATCTGTGTTTCCCTTGGTTTTCGCGGAGAAACAATCTTCCTACCCTCGTCTCCTTCACCACCACCATGGTTCCTGCTGCGTCAAGACTTGCCTGTTCCTGCCTACTCCACGGACCCGCCCGTGAATCTGGACCATGTTACCTTCGGATCTCTCGCAGTATCCCCCAACGGATACAATGTTGCTGTCACTCTTTCATCTTCCCCCCGCCATCTATTTCCGAGGTTTCCCGGGCAACCCTCGACGATGCAATGTGGCCACGTTACAAGCAATCGTGGCGAATCGATAGGTCCTCGCCGGCGGGTCGACCACCAACCCTGGTGATGAAGTCCTTGGTAGAGAAGTATGGGGCACGTTCAAATCGTGAACCCTTTCTTCCAAATTTCGGATTTACATGGGGCGGCCCGGTTACGCAAGCGTCCTTGGGTTTCTTTAAAAGCTTGCTCTGTCGCGCCCCTCTCCTCTGTTTCTCCTTCCACGAGCACATCCTAGCATGCATATCATACTTTTCCATTAACCCCCCGGTCCTGCCAAGATGGCTCCGCTAATCAGTTATCTTTTCGAACAGAGTTTTCCCAGAATCGGGCCCTGGGAAACCATTCATGCTACATGCTTGTCTGGATCCATCAACAGCAGTAATACGAGTACGAACAAAGCGGATAGAAGACCGCTATGTCTTCACGATATCCATCTGGCGACCAACGGTACACACCTCGCGACCGAACGCCGCCACGCTATAACGACCGCAGAGCTTCCACTTTCTCATCTCGTAACGACGATTCCATCGCCGGACGAGGCCCCTACCCAGACTCTGTCATTGGATCCGGTAGAGATGTACCCCGAGGCCCCAAGGCCCTCACGGATACATCACGAGGCCCAGGTCCAGGGGGAGGCTCTTTTGTTCCTGCAGGGCCTAGAGGAAGGGGTACTGGGGGCTTTAGAGAGCTTAGGGATGCACCACCTCTCAGCGAAGGTCCTGAGAGACCCCGTGGTGGATCATCTTGGCGGGGTTCGGATCGGGATCGCCACTTCGATCGACGAGACAGGCCGATCTCGCCACGTGCGCGGTCGCCTGACAGGGACTCGAGGAACTCTAGAGACTCCTTCGCGCCTAGAGAGCTGGATATTGACCGGGCAAGGGGAAGCAGGAGGGACGGCCCGCCTTCTGCCGGGTCCAACTTTTCCGACCCGCCAACCGGTGGATTCGGTTTCCGCGGGGGCTTCAGTGGCAGAGGACGTGGTCGTGGAAGAGGCGACTGGGACGACCGAGGCCGGGGCCGTGGCTCTTTTGACGACAGGAGTTCGTTCCGAGGTCGGAGCCGTTCACGCGACAGATCCAGGTGGGACAGAGACACCGGCAGGGATGATCGCATCATCGACCGAAGAGATGACAGAAGGTTTGATCGGCGAGATGACGAGCGCGATAGGCCTCTCTACAGAGATGACCGGGAAGTTGATCGCTACAAGCGGCCAGACCCTGTCACGGTTAGAGAGGCTGACTTTCGACGGGCCAGCATTGCCAATGACAGGTTCAGTGGTCCGTCAAGTTCTTCGTCGCATCAAAGTCCCCGTCATCCTTCGATCTCTCATGCCAGTGGTTTAGATCGTTCCAGTACAGCTGACCTCACGAGAGACTTTCGCGACCTGCCTCCGGCCAGACGTCCTTCAGTAGTTCAGGACCCTGCCTCGGCCAAGGAGTTGCATCGAGAGTCTGACAAACTTCTTGCACAGCGTGCCGAAGCTTCTCAAAATCGCTACGGGCCTCGTGGGTCTTCGCCTCCACCTCAGGCTCCCCAAGTGCCTGCGTTTGGCTCTGTTTCTTTCAACAAGCCCTCTACCACTTTCACAACGCCCACGTCCAGCGTGTGGCGGCCCCCGCCGGTATCACAGCAGCCTGTTCCTCCCGCTTCCGGTCCGCCTTCAGGACCCAAGATCCCACCCAGCGCGCCAAAGGCCCTGTCTTCTGCTCCACCGACAGCTCCAACCGGGCCCAAAGCGACAAGAATCCCCGAGAAACCTTCAATCGACATACAAACGCCAAGTAGCCCTGTCAAAGAGCCACCGAAACCGAAACCGGACAATGTTCCTCCTCCACCTCCACCTCCCGCTGCCCCTGCCCGCCCACCTAGTGAAGTCCAAGAAGCTCCAGCCAGATCGCGCCCTCCTTCGCCACCGCGGGAGCCTCCTACTGCTCCTGCTGCGTTGCAGCAACGTCCACCTAATGCCGTTCCCCCAACGGGTCCGCGTGGTCTCGTTTCGCCCCAGCAAGCCCATAGCCGAATCGCTCCTCCGGTGCCTCCGCCAAATGTTCCACTTGGTCCAAGAGCGTCAGCTCCTTTCAGCACTTCGCCAAGAGGACCTGGCGGACCTGGCCCAGTTATTCCGACCGGTCCTAAGGCTGAACGAGGCCCTCCAGTAGCTCCCAGAGCAGCACTTTTCCCACAAGGTGACCGTTCATCGCTCAATGCTCCTAGACCGCCGATGATGGGCGTCCCCGGCCGCAATCTGCAATGGATTCGTCCGGACGCGCCCCGCTACCCTCGTGGCCTAGCACCTGTGCCTGTGGTTCCTGCCAAGCGGGATGTCGAAGGTGACGAGAAAGACAAATCTTTTGTTCCTTCCAGGCCCAGGTCTCCAGCCTTTAATGTACCTTCTCCGGCAAGCAGGCCCACTTCGCGAACTCCACCAAACGGCGATCTACTTGCCCAGCGCAGGAAATCTGCTGGTGAAGTAAGACCCCGTGACAATGTAGCACTACTTGCGGCACGGAGAAACTCTTCATTCGACGTTCCCGACAATGTCGCGCGGCCTACATCACAACCACAGCAATCCTCCTTGAAAATACAAACTGTATCGCTTCATACGCGCGAGTCACAAGTATCCGACGAGACTTCAGAAGAAGACGATGAGATGGATCTGGACGATGAGGAGGCTTTTGCAAAGGAGAAAGAGAAGTACGAGCGAGAGAAGGCTCGCCTGGAGTCGCGACTCAAGAACCTCGAGGACGAGAGCCTTCGGTCTTCCGCGCCGCTTAAGATAATATCGAAGCTATCGCGGGTCTCTGAAAATGCTTTACCCCGACCGGAACCTGCGAAGCCTGAGCCAGAGCCTGGGTTGCCAGCTGCCGTGCAAAAGATTGAAAAGATCGGAGAAGAGCTCGAAGCCGCGGTCGAAGAAGAACGCAGAGCAGAGGCAGAGGCAGAAAAGCAAGAGCAGGAGAAGCCAATGCCTGTTCCTGCCGAGCGCGAGCCTGAGATGGTCACAGAACCTGAGCCAGAACCTCGACCAGTCAAGCTTCCTACACCCACTGCAGACGAGGGTCCCGATGGTGACGTGGCAATGGAAGATGCCGCCGATGTTGAGGGAGACCGTGGATCCGAGAGTTCAGAAGATGAGTCCGCTGAGGACTTTAGCTCACTGCCATACCTCAACCGTGGGCCTCTTACTCCCCTGTCAGACCCAGATCAAGATGTAGGCCACAAGGCGAACATCATGGCCGCAATCAAGGAGAAGATGATGCAAACGCATCAAGCGGAACAGGATCTGCATGTCAGGCTTATGCATGATTTCAGGGTACAGTACAAAGAATGGGCTCTGGAGACTGCTCTGAGGGAAAGAGAGGCTGCTGCACGCGAAGAGAAGGAAAAAACCGAAGAGCAAGAAGCCGCCGTCTCTCCCAGCGAAGTCTCTACTGGCACACAACCAGTGATCAGGCAGCGTCATGTGACTGATTACGATTTGGAGAACATTATGAAGGAGTCTTTGAGATTAGAAGAGGAGCGGAAAGAAAAGCAACGTCGCGAAGAAGAAGCGAAAAATCCGTTCTTTGGAGGCCAGGCGCCGATCCCGGACATGAAGTCAGCCGACGAATTGAAAAGGCGAAAGTTTCGCAATACCAACCGCCTCCGGGAGCCTGCACCTGGCATCTTTACGTTTGGATTTGAGCCGCCAGAGGACGACTTCACCCCAGAGGAGCACAAACAACTCGTTACCGCTTACCATGAAACGCCGAAAGATTGGGGCGAGATCGCCAAGAAACTCCCCGGTCGCACCTTCAGGGAGTGCATCAACCATTACTACGCTACCAAGTGGAACGGTGAGTACAAAGCGCCAACGCGCGGTCGCAAGAAGCCTCGCAAGGCAGCGGCAAAGTCGTCAACAAGAAAGACGAGGATACCTTTTTCGAGCGCAGACCAGCCGGAAGGCGAAGAGGGCACGGTCACGACTGAACGTGGTCGGCCACGACGTGCTGCTGCTCCAACCTTCGGCGACAGGGAATTGGTGGACCCAGATCAATCTACGCCCGCGCCGACTCCCGGTCGGCAGAGAGGTGCTTCGCAAAGAGGCGACACGGCCGAGACTGAGAAGCCTGCAAAGCGACAAAGAGTCGCCAAAGAAAAAGGTAGCAGGAAAGGTCGAGCTCAGCAACTTGCGCCTGCTCCATCAGCATCGCCACAGAAGATCGAAAGGGAATTCAGTGACGTGTTCCAAGCAGATGGCAGTATGGAGGCCATGAGGCTTGCGCAATCACAGGCCGAAGAAGGAGCTCGAATGCAACTTCAGGGTCTGTACCAGTCTGATGGCCAGGGTCACCCGGCTGATGGAATCTTCGCGCCTACCGGATCTGCGGGACCCTTGGACAGGCCCAAGCCCGTACGTGGTCAGAGTTCTCGCGCCGGCGGCATGTCTAGCTACTGGTCCGTGAACGAGCTGACTGATTTCCGCAACTACGTGGCCTATTTCGGCACCGACTGGCCTGCCATCTCGAGGCAGATGGGGACGAAGACCGCTGCAATGGTAAATACGCAACATGGACGAGAGAGCTTAAACACATCGATTGCTCACCAACACCAGGTCAAAAATGAGTTTACCCGCAAGACCGAGTCAGGGGGCCATCCGGAACTCGTCCAGGCTGCCCAACTTGCGGATGAGAGGAGAAAACGGGGAGAAGACCTCGGGTCTCTGCCCGCGCCGTCGGCAGCTGTGAAGCGCAAGTACGATGCGATGCAACACGCGCAGCCTCGTACGCTTGCGCCCACTCCTAGTGATGTAGAGATGGAACACTCGCCCCCTATTCCTTCGCAGTTACCCACAGCCTCGTCTCCACATCCACAACAGCTTAACCGATTCCAGACTTTGGCCCAAGCAGCACCGCCACTCACGGGTTCCGGTCTGCAACCCGCCATTCTCACTTCGACGGGACTGTCTACTCCTCCATCTCATGTTCCTACTCATCATCATCACCAGTACAGCCGGTCGGCGCAGCCTCAAATCCCGCCTCAAGGTCCACGTCGAGGATATTTTGACCAACGCGAGTCCAGATCTAGCCTCGTGGCAGATATTAGACAGAATGCGCCCGACCCAGTA